AGCTGCGGCCAGAAGAAGTGACTGAAGGCGCAAGCTCTTTGCAGAGAACGTTCGTCGAGCTCGTTCGTGTATATCAGAACATTTTTGACTACTGGTCCAGCACCGAACTCCCTCAAGCCTTGTGGCGGGACGCGCGGGGAGACGACCAGCAGACAGGAACTGCGCAAGCTGCAAGCTGGCAGACGCAGAAACCCTGCCAAGCAGCGCAGGTGCAGCCAGTCACGGCAGACGCCTGAGGGGCTTGTGTGGCTCTGCTTTGCAGCCGAAGCTGCCAAAGCACAGCGGGAGGACGAAGATGCCCCCGTAAGCTGCCTTGCCACCCGGACCATGGACCGACCAACGCCTGCAGCAGCCCAGCTTCTTCATTTCGTGCCTTTCTTCTGAACACAGCCAGCCAGGACACTTGCAGCAAGCTGTCGACGAGATCAACATACCGTTTGGTGTGCTTGCCTCTTGATGTGATGCGTGACTCGCCTGCCTGCGACGCAAGCGAGCCACACGTCTTTTGCATCTTACACCAGCTGTGTCAGAAGGGTCTCTTCCTCAGCGCCATTTGCAACTTGCCAAGCGATACCCGGTCAACTGTTGCTGAGCAAATGTCGCCAGACCCCCGCGAACCTCGCGCGCGCTGCGGCGAGCCTCACAACTTTGGGGGTTGCGTGAGCTCTCTTCGCGTCAGTGCTCGGAGCTTGCGCTCAGCAACCGCGTTTTGCAGCGTAGCTCTTTAGTGCTGTTCGCAGTTTGGCTTGCGAGGGGAGGCGTCCTCTTGGAACACCCGGGCCGTCCGAGCGACCCAAGCACCGCCTCACCTTGGATCCTGCCTCAGATCCAGCAATGGCTGCAGATGGCGGACGTGCATCTGCTCCATATACGCCAGTGTGAATGGGGTCTGACTAGACCCGAAGGAACGTGCCCAGCAAAAGGAGGCGAGCAGCGCGTTCGGCCTGAACCAGGTCTCTTTGTTTGGCCATTCGTTTCCCTACTAGGTCCTCCTCTCTCTCTGCCGTTGCGTCCAACCGCGTCGATGTGTGAAACGTGGCACTCTTGGTGGTGCCCCTCGATTGAAAGGAGCTGCAGTCATGTGGCCACACTGCCTACGGAACCTGCAACTTCGATTGCTGGAAAGATGCTGAGGGAGCTGCTGGGCAAGTGCTAAGCAACCCGCAAGTGCTGGGCAACCCATGCAAATTCGCTGTCAGAACGGGGCAGGGGGTCCTGCGCCTCTGCTGCTTGCATGGTACGCCTGCTTTGCGAGGTGAGCGAAAGCACTGGCGAAAGCGCGCGATTAAGCTGAAGTGGCGATCGAGTCGGCCCTGCTGCGACCGCAGAGCCTTTCGCGCGAAGCTCAACCGAAAACTTGTGCCGCTCTAGCTCCGCTGGGAGATTCGGCAGCCCTGCGTAGAGCAGTCCAGTGAGTTTCTTGCTGCTGTGAACTTCTCCCTCCCCGTTTTTGCGGGCTTTAAAGGAAACAGCCCATTTCGCGAATGCAAGGTGATTTGTTGCCACATGTTGCCCTTGCCAAGAAACCAACAGATGCTAAGGAGATGCCAGGGATCAACCTCCCAAAGCACTGGACAACAACGGGGGGTGTCAGCTTGTTGGGGGTACCCTTGTTGGGGTTAGATTACATAACAGCCAAAGGCAAACAACCCATTGGATTGAATTACCCCTATTTTGAGACAAACTCAAATATCAGAAGGATCGAGCATGGGTTGAAGCTTTGTCATTGTGGATGGTAGCTTCAAGCGACGTGTGCCAACTGGATTTTTGCTTTGGTCTTTCACACGTTTGGCCTTTTCGTTTGGGCGCCTTGGTGGTTTTAGCGATTCTCTTCGGAGTGAGTCTGGGCCCCTGTTTCTGTGGGTCTAAGAACTTCTGAAAGCAACCTGAGGAGTCTTGCAGCTGGCGTGCTTGTTTCCGGGTTTCAGGCAATGGCTGTGTGTGTGTGTGATTTTTGGGGAATAGACCCGGCTTGGTGATTTTCCATTCGGTTTAATGGTGGGTTCCACCGCCACGCCCAACCCCCCCCTCCCCTACGTGTACAGCCAGGCCGGAAGCCGTCTCCCAGCTGCTTGGCAGGGCTTTCAGTGCTAGACTACGCCTCGCAAACTTCAAAACCAATTACATATAGAGAGGGTAACTGAGGGAACCACCCTTGACAAAAAACTGGTTACCTACTAGCATGGAAAAGCCATTGGGACCAATTACCTAAAGGGCTGTGGTTGTCAAAACCGTCTTGGGATCCCATGTTGGGGTAGGTGCACCACCAATTTTAGAACCTATTTTAGTGGGGATTGGGATGTTCAGCGGGGGTACGGACTTTTGACCCCCCAACTAGGTCCCCCAGCTAGGTGCCCTTTCTCACCAACTTTTTGGGTTGGGAGGGTTCCCCTACTAAAATAGACTACAGAAAAGTTGGTACCCTTATTCCAACCTCTCTACTAAAAACCAATAGTGGGGGTGCCGAAGACTTCTTGTCCCGAAATAAATTCGGAGGACTCGGCCGGGCTAGTTTTCCCCAGTGGGTTGGGAGCAGAGGCTCCGAGGATTTGGTGCTTTTCGACCTGCCAGGTTTTGTGCTGCAACGCAGGAGTGGTCTTCCGTTGGAAACCCCAAAAATGGAGAATCATGTTGTCAGAAACAAAGATATTAAGGAAACAAACTGGTATACATGATATTAAAGGTAATGGTACTAATAGTATGATATCATCATGACCATCATCATCATCATCATCATCATCATCGTCATCGTCATCGTCATCATCATCATCCAATGCTACTGTCTGGGCATCCTCACCCCTGGAAAATGGCTCTGGGGGGACGTGAGTGACCCCTGGAATTCCATATAGAACACCAATTCCATTGTCCCTTGTGTTTGGGGGAAGACTAGAAAATTAATTTGGGGGGCACCTCCCACCCCGCTCCCCGCTAAGGCAAGCATGCTTTGGACTCGTCGAACCCAGAGACATTTTTTCATCATGTTGTATTGCGAATCTGAAGTACTCAGATTAACATGGAACTCAACAAGATGTCCCCCAAAAGGACATTTCACTGCAAAGTCAGGTTTGTTGGATTTCATGTTACTGTAAAGCGGAGTAGGCGTTTCATCAATCCAAAGACCTCAAGCAGCAGGGGTCTGGGGTCTTTTTTGAAGGGGATGGGGGATTTTCAACAGACTTTTTAAAGTCTTGATTTTTCTCCCAATATTCTATGACTTTCTCTTCTATTTCAGCCCTCCTTTCCCCTTGGACCTACACAAAGAGGTCATTTTAAGTTTTGTTGGACACCAGCGAGCTGCAACTTTTGATTTGGGGGAATCCGGTGACCCCTGTCTAACGCCAGACATTTTGTGGAACCTGTTGGAGAGGCCAAAAACAAAGGTGAGTCTCCTTCAAGGCATTCGCAGAGGCAAGATGTTCATGAAGCAACATCTACATGAGGTTAGTAAGCTTAGTGTGTTTACAGTACAGCCTTCCTTGCCAATTGGAAACCAACTCGCGCGCTTGCACATATCGTGATCCCAAGATATACATTTCTGGAACATGGTATTACTCTACCTTTTGAAACCAGGAGCCTCGCCTATAAACATTGCGACAAAGGATGTTCATAAGTTGCCTTTGTTTTCGTGGTCTCTTGGACAGGGCAGTCCTGAAACACAAGGGGATTCACTGAAGGACTGCTCGCAGCTTTGGAAGTTGTTGCTTTCGTTTCGGAAGCTGAAAGGTGGGGCAGTCCGCTCGGGGCAGCGCATCCAAGGCTGTTCTTGAAAAGAGGGTAAGGCAAACAAGCGGCACATTTTTTCGGTAGATCCCAGTCATAAGCGATATAGGTAGGCAACTAACTATCTTCCTGTTGCTTTTTAAAGGGTGGCAAGCCCTTTGTTGCCTACAAAGCCAGTAAACGGATGCACTGGGTGTACTTAGATGTTCTGGGACGGAATCGCTAAATGGTCAATCCTGGTGATGGGGGGCGTTACTGGGTTACAACTACTAGGTCCCCCAGTAGTGCCCTTTTTTTTTTGGGGGGGGGAGGGTTCCCCTACTAAAATAAACAGAAAAAACAGACGGTACCAACTTATTCTAACCTCTCAAATCTGGAGGACCTAGCAGTGCTTCCAGGCGTTTTGTCGCTGTAGTAGACAGCCCATGTTTATGATCATTCCCCCTGTTTGCCAATGGGAACTGAAAGGATGTATATTTTGAGCACAAATGGGTTACATGGGCAAAGCCAACCACGCGATTCCCAGGGCCATCCAGCATGGCGCAACGCGAGGCCTGTGAGGCAGCCGCAAGCAAGATCTGCGCCACAGGCGGCACTTACAAGTAGTCGTGGCGTGGGCGCGTCAAACTTGGTGGCAACTTGTTCAACCTTACCTGGAGTCTCCTTCTGACCCTTACAAAATGGGGTCATTACCCAAAAGTAATGGGGTCGTTGACCCATTTTGGAAGGGTCATGGAGACTCCAGGTACTTATAGCAACAAATGACTTGCAAAAAAGAGATGCTTATACTTTTATGCTAACCCCTCATGGTTCTTGTTCAGCAAATGTTCTGTCCTTGTTTTTGTGCCTAAAAAAGTATCTTAAGGTGGACAAAATACGGATTGTTAAGGAACACAATCTTGAGGTTGACGAAATGTGGAACCAAAACTGAACGAAAAAAGTTGGGCCGGTAGACTCTCAGCACCCAAGTCGGTTTCTGCTTCCTGGCCCAACTTGAGGGACCGATGTTTTTTGGATGGCATGAAGATGGCACAAAGCAGTCGGGGTGCTGGTAAGAGTCCAAGTCCTGGAGTCTCCTTCTGACCCTTAAAAAATGGTTGCTCCTTACCCAAAATAATGGTTGGTCATTGACCCATTTTTAAACGGGCAGAAGGAGCTCACAAAATACGAGACATAAACCACCAAACGATGATGAGAGAAAAAAAAACACGGAGCTGCTTCTGGTCGGGTGGATTTAGGTGCCCAGGCGTCGAGGCCAATGGATTTTTTTCCAGGTGCCGATGCTCACGTATGCTCCGGCGCCCATCGAGGATGTGCAGGACTCGGGAGGTCGGTTTCAGCTCTTCCGCTTGTGCTCGTTCGCTTCCATTTTTTGTTTTAAAGAAGTTTTTGATTGTTTCCCTGTTGGTTTTAAAGGAGTCGATCGCTACTGGACCTATGTTGCAATTTGTTTTTGGGGCTTAAGCAAACGGAAGCTCGGGTAGGAGGCGAGGGATGGCAACCTGCGGCCACCTTGTTATTCACACGGATTTTGGGGTACCTCCAGCCGCAGCTCTCCGACTTTTCAGGGCAGTTTGAGCGGTCTGAGGGTCCTTCCAGGTAGAGCATTTCGATACCAGGTGTTGAGTGCGCCGCACCCCTTTGGTTCCAGGGGGGTACCTTCCAGGATCCCATTCTTTCCAGGGATCCGAAGCTTTCCAGTCAAAACCTCCGGAAATCCGGGGGAAACGACTGGAAACGGAGCCAACCCTTAGATTGGGGCCAGTAAAAGCGCGCGTTTCCTCGTGACTCGTGAGACCTGACTTCGCCCCGTCCCGTTCAAGAAGCTGCTCGAATCCGGCTCTATACCCTGATTGGGGGGGAGGGGGGGGAATTGAGAGATCCTTTTAAGGTCAAAAGCTGTTGATTTTTTTTGGCGCCTACTGTGGATGGACGAAATCCGTCCGCACCACTTTGAAACCATTAAGTTTCTTGGCTGGTTTACAGGGAAATCATCAGAAGCCAGGGTTTCTTAGGTGGTGCAGGATTTCGTCCATCCACAGTAGGGTGTGCTTTTGGCAATTGAATTCTGCAATTTCATGTGGAACTCGGTCGTTTCAACTAGCTTATGTTTTGCCGTAAGTTGATTCAAAATCAATCTCGTTGACTTCAAATTGGCAAGCCGCGAAGGATTGAGTTATTTAGATTCAGGCCGGAGAGCTCTGGGAGAAAAGAGCTAGTTTTTAGCCGGGGAAAGGGGTCAACTCCGAAACCGCCCGACCGAACATCGAATCAACTCACCCAGAACCAGAAGCAGAACCATCGACAAAAACGGGACGTGCTTGTTTTGTGGGATCACCATGTTTGAAGTTGGGTAAACGTGACATCAGGAGCTGCGGAGCTGCCTCCCTCCCGCACTTTGTAGACAAACTGAAACAAAACCTGGCCATAAATCAACGCAGCCCGAGAACACCGTGGGAAAGCCGACACATCCAGCAAGACAAGAAGGCAATCAGCAGCTTCCCGTTTTTGGGGGAGGGTTCCCCTAGTACAATAGGCTACAGAAAAACAAGTGTACCCTTATTCTAACCTGTCTACTGGAGGACATAAGGACATAGGCAGGATGCTTCCACCTTTTTGTGAATCTGTCGATTCGGCTTTTCCAGGTTCTTTTGGCTGTGAGATCAGCAAACCAAAGAACTGGGGTAGACTTGGGATACATTTTACATTTTAACCGTGACTTAAGGTGAAGCAACCAATAAAATATAGATTCTATAACTGGGCCCAACTCTAATCCTGAGAAGAGGAGCCCCGTATTTCGCGAAACAAAAAAAAGAGGCCTGAGAAAGCTATGACACGCGCACACACACACACACACACACCCACACCCACACCCACACCCACACCCACACCCACACCCACACACCCACACCCACACCCACACACCCACACACCCACACACCCACACACCCCCACACCCACACACCCACACACCCACACACCCACACACCCACACACCCACACACCCACACCCACACACCCACACACCCACACACCCACACACCCACACACCCACACACCCACACACCCACACACCACACACCACACACCACACACCCACACACCCCACCCACACCCACACCCACACCCACACCCACACCCACACCCACACCCACACCCACACGCACACGCACACGCACACGCACACGCACACGCACACGCACACGCACACGCACACGCACACGCGCACGCACGATTCAATGTATTTTATAGAGCACCTGTGGTCTCCATTACCTGTAAATCATGGGTGTGATTACCCAAAATAAGATCTCTGGCACGGCGTTTGGTCTATGGTGGGGAGTCCCAGACGTGGAGTTGAGTCGGAAAATCAATAGTTACTTAGTTTGTTTGTTTTACTTTATGTATTTATTTGTTTATTTATTTATTTATTTATTGATTTATTGATTTTTGGGCGGGGGAGCGGGAAGACAGAGAAAGGAAGTTGGTGAACCCCTGCCCCGATCTGTCTTGCAGGCATTCGCGTTTGGCAAGCACCGGCAAAGTATGGAACGGGCCTGACCTTTCTCAACCCTTTCGGGAAAATCAGGGGAGGCCCTAGTTCGAAGGTTGGATTCCCCATTCTCTTCACCCATCGTTCTCTTTAGAAACCACCTATTCTCCAGGGCTTTGACCCATTCTTTGAAGAGAATGGGGAGGGCACAGCTAGACTAGTGGCATCCGCTTTAATCTTGCTGGTGCTCAGCAGGGAATGAGGGACTGAACCCAGGCTTTGAAAGGTGGATTATAGTGAGTCATTTCATTTCTCATTCCCTGCATCTCCCGCACCAGCAAATCCATGGCTGAGTTTGTCTTTGGGGTCAACACTCGGGGCTCGTTTCTTGATGTTCGAAGCAAAAGGCAGGCCACCTCACCTTGTGTTCTATCTTTCTGTGAAGAAACCACTGAAAACCGATTCAGAAACCCATGGAAAGCAAAGGAAGCCCATGGAAATCAGTTGAAAGCAAACGAAACCAAACAAATGTAAAGGAAATCAAGAACCTGGAGTCTCCATCACCCTTTAAAAATGGGTCAATGACCCCATTATGTTAGGTAATGACCAACCATTTTTGAAGGGTCAGAAGGAGACTCCAGGTAAAGGAAACCAAGACCAAAGAAATCAAGATTCCATCCCAAGGAGCCCAGTGGAAACCACACAGCCGCCATGCGCCGCCCTCGAATCGATTCCATTTCGAAGGAGGCAGAGCTACGGAAAGCGCTTCTGGCGTCGCAGAAGGCATTTGAGGCGGGGATGGGCGGGGGTCACGTTTGCACCCCACTGCTTTCAGGCAGCTACTATAGTAGATAAGGGGAAACCAGTAAGACCTAGAACTACGGGTTGGAGATGGAACAAAAGCAGCTCTTGCAGGGTGCTGGTAAGGCTCCAAGTACCTTTTACTTTGACCCATGTCTGACCTTTGAGGCAAATCCTTTGGGGGTACTGGGGCACTTGGTTGGTTCTGTTGGTTATTTGGTGGCATTGTACGCTGAATGACCACATCTATTTGGTGCTTTGTGATGTTCCTGGAGGTTGTATTAGGTTGGACATTAGTCCTCATGTTTCAATGTTTGCCCAACTTCATCCCTTGTCGGCCTTGTGTTTTCTGCATTTTTCTTCAGCGGGATGCTAAAAATGAGAATGCTGAGGCCCCGTGACTTTGGCTGTCCAATGGTCTAAGTGACCTAGTGGCTGCTTTGCGCCCATTTGCCAACCATGGGGGTGCGGGTTGTGAGTTCCTCTTTTTTGTTGTTTCAATAGTTGACTTTCTGAGGCTCCAAGTCTGGCAATTTTCCCAGCATTTGTCTTTTGGGGAACGGCCCCCCTCGTTTTCCCCCCTCTTTGTGTAGTCTTACGATAAAAGGGAAGCTGATTGTAGGTCCCTGGAGGATTGTGCTTTTGTGCAGTGCTATGTTGCTACCAGTCGCGAGCTTTTCTCTTTCGGCAGCATTCCCCCAGAATGGACTCCAGTATCTACGTAGACCTTATCAAGCACTCTTTTGCACTACTGTGGATGGACGAAATCCATTTCGCACCACCTGAGAAACCGGGAATGATTCGATTGCCCTGTAAATACCAACAAACCATGTCCCATGGGTTCTTAGGTGGTGCGAAATGGATTTCGTCCATCCACAGGTTTGTTTGGGGGGTGGGCTTTGTAGCCATAGGAATTGGTGATCTTCCCTTCAAGCGCGGGGATGTTTTGCGGGAGAACTCCGTGTGCGAAGCCCACTCAGCATGGTCACAGTCCTCCACAGTCGAGGAGTACCTCTTAAAGGTATACTCAGGTTCTCAAACAGGTTGGAAGGGCGGTGTGGAAAATGGGTTGCCGTGCCTCCTTTCAGTGCTCAAGTCCAAAATATACTATTTTTTCCACCAGGTCCTTTTGGGATGCGAGTCCTGTGCCAGCGATCGGACCCCTTTTGGGTCGCCTGCATTCAGTCCATCTTCACCTTCAAACCACCCGGCAAAAGGCCGAAGAATCGCCAAAGAATTCGGGTGCCTTTGCAAACCCCCAGACCAAGCCGCAGGACGAGGAGGAAAGGGAGCTCCGCTGGGCCTTGGAGGCCTCCGGAAAGACCGACTCAATCCCTGCAAATCTCTGGGCACCGTTTTGACCGCCGCATGAAATGGCTGTGGTGGTCAAACATGTGGATGCGAGATCCATAAAGCGCACCACCGTTCAGAATTGGTTTCTGATGATTCCCTTGCCAATGCCAACAAACGTGATGGTGTCCCATGGTTTTGAAGCGGTGCAGGATTTTGTCCATCCACAGTAGGACAACCCCAAAACGCTTTCCCGGGTAAATGGAAGCAAGTTGACTAAAACCTGCGGGGTTTAGTTTCACCCATACCCAAATGTTTTGAAACTTGTCACAGGCCATCTCCTTTCCGCTGTTCTGGGAGCCCACTACCCCTTTTTCCCGACGCAGAAAGAGAAGGGTGCGTCAATTTGTTCAGGAATCGAACCCCCTGAAATGCCTCCGGTGTTCCTACTGGTTTTCCTTGAGGTTCGCTAAAAAGGGGTACCAAATCCCCAAAAACGACACCCAACACAAACTTCTCGGTTGTATCTGCTGCCCGTAACCGCTGCAGGCATCAGTCCTGTTTGTGATCATGGCAATAACCTACTTATATACCCGATGTAGGTTGAACGCCCAAGATCCCCGAGGTTTTCGCAGTCTTCGTACATCTACATGAACCAGTGGCCATTCTTGACCTTTTCTAGAACTGAACCATTGAGTATGCCATGGGTTCACAATTGGACATGAGCCCTTGGTGTGTCTTCTGTTAGGGTATCCCCAAAATGGTGGCCTTCCTTTTGTTTTGCCTTCGATAGCATCTGCATGTAGAATTAGCCCTTGAGAAGCGGGGCGAATAGATGGTGAGCAATGTTTTCTCCGCATGTCTATCAGCTATTGAATGGGATGTAGAGGATGGGATTGTGTCAAAATCCGGGTCACAACGTTGTCCCTTTGTCCCTTTAGAGTAACGTCTTAAAACGGGTATCAACAAGACCTACACAAACACATGGGTTCATGGACGCTTGTTTTGTTGAAAACCTGAGCCTGTAGTTTGACCTCCAACTCGCAGTTCATGGGATCCAACAACAAGTTCGGTCGAAAACAGCCAAGACGGACACTACATATTTTTCTGGGTTCCCGTACCCTGAAACTACCCTTGAACATGATTGAACTCAGCATTTGTTTGGAGCAACCCAATCTTTTGTGGGTAGCTTGAGGATGCAGGTTCATGCATTTAGCCTTTGCAGCTCTGAAAAAGGTTCCCAAAGTAAAACCTGGCGGATGCTTGTATTCCTTGCTTGTCCGACCCGCCCGTCTGAGAGTGATCCGCTCTGAGAAGGGAAGGGGTTGCCGCAGTAGACCATTGGTCAACGGGGTTACTTCCATTCGCTGAAGATGATGAATCAAGTTCCCCTGCTGGGTTAAAAGGGAATTATGTATTCAGCACTACTGGGCATGTATGTTTTTTCAGGGGACTTGAGCAATTGGTTGTTTGCCTTGTTTCTTTTCAGGTGCCGCATTTTACCCGTCCATGATCCCCAACCAACGGCTTGCCGCCATACGGCTCGTAAGCCGACCTTTTTGAATTCTGCAAAGGACCCTCAAGCTACCCATAAAAATGGGGGTATGGGTCAAAATCAAGTCCCCAAGAATTGGACCGCAGGTTTTAGTCCAGCTTTCCACCAGCGTTTTATTTGGCGTACCTATTTTTGACCCACGGCCAAAATCAGAATTCACCAACCATAAATTTTGGGATGCAATATATACGCCCCCCATTTTCATGGGTAGTTTGCGGGTCCAGGTGTTGGTTTGGCAACCATGTTTGTCCAGGCCAACGGCCGTCTTTGATTTCCAGGCACTTTGGGAAGGCGAGTACTTAGATGGTCTGGGAGTGGTTAGTAACGCTAGTTGTAGCCCATTTGCCATGTTGTAAGTTCCCTACAACGCACAATTATTAACCATTTTAGCGATTTGTCCCAGATCATCTAAGTACTTGGGTCTTCAAGTGAATGCAACCTTGGTATCAGGCGGTGTAACAGGGGTTGGTCCGCTAACCATGGTTATAACCTACCTGGACCATGACCCTCAAGAAATGAGGTCTTTACTCAATTCAAAAAGGTCATGGACCCAATTTTTGAAGGGCACCCAAGCACCTGGGTGGTTCAGTAAGTAGGTTATAGCCATGGTCATAAGTGGGACAACTCGGGTTAGTCCCCTTAACATGGTTACAACCCACTTCCTAAGTTGGTTGCACACCCAAGTAGGGGTCATCAAGTTTATCACCTTTAAGTCCTTGTCTTGGTGCTTCCCCAAAGCCATTTGGGAGAAACATCCTGCTAGGAATCTGCGCGGCTGGCACGGCAGGAGGCGAGCTGGAAGGTCCTTCGATGTTGCTTGGGGGAAATCCTTGGCATCGTGCGATAACGGGCTATTCTCCAAAGCAACCTAGGCGTGCTGTGTTCAAAGCCAAGGAAAACAAGCGTTTCGTTTTGCTTCCCTTTAAAATCAACCCAAAAAGGGTACCCTCAAAACAAGACACACGAACCTCATTGGACAAATATGTGTTGTTTCCCTCCAGCATCTGTTGGAGGTGGGCCAAGCTTGACCAAGAGCCGCTGAAAGTAGATAGTAGGCAACCAAGGGCTTGCCACCCTTAACCATAAGGAAAGTAGCTGGGGTCATTAGTTTGATTGTTTCTAGGTCAAAGTCAGAACATGGGGTTGTTTCCTTTTAACCCATCACTTAGGAGAAAACTTTGATCATGGCAACATAATGAGGCCAGAATAGCTGGTTACTGTGTGGGCTTGCATCGGATTAAGTGGGTTGAGGGGAAGCCTACAGGACATCACCCAAAACAGGGGCGTCCGCCCTCTATTTTGACACGCCCATGAGTTGCAGTAAACCACTTGGCTGTGGGTCAAAACCAATGGCACCATTTTGGGGTAGGTGAACCACCCATTTTAGAACCTATTTTAGTGAGGATTGGGATGTTCACTGGGGGTGCGAGAATTTTGACCCATGGCCACTTTGGAAAATAGCTGATTACCTACCATATATGGAAAATGGGGATCCACTAAGCAAGGTCTGTCCCAAGCGACGTGATACGTCCTTTGAGTTCGTCATGCCCGCTTGCTGAGCGGCACCTTGGTCTTTGCAGGTACCTGGGCCCTCAAACTGCATGTAGAAAAGGGCAATTCACCAACCATACCGTGGATGGACAAAGTCCATTTCGCACCACTTTAAAACCATGGTTGCAACCATGTTTGTTGGTATTTGCAAAGAAATCATCATTCCATGGAGTCCCGGCCAGACAAACCGGCCGCCTTTTGGGAAGACCATGTTGTAATCGAAAAGCTCGGACGGTGTTGGCGACCTAGACCTTCAACCCTTTGAAAAGGGCAACCACCCCAACATTTTGAGAAGATATCCTATTCTTAAGGATAGTTAGGGTCCAGGTGCCCTCGTTCCAACACTTATGGAAGTGGACAGGCGCCTTTCCCATAAGGAAAAGCAGTATGCCAGAATTCGCCTGTCAGCTTCTGGAGGGACATCCTTTTTGTTGTTCTTCTTCTTCTTTTCGGAGTTTTCAGCCCGTTTGGTGTAGAACTGCAGGAATCCGCCCGACTGGCTGAGGAAGAGGACTGGGTCACTCGGTCCCATTTTTGGGGCGAGAGGTAAACCGAGCTCTCCACGAAGGTCTTGAGGGTCCCTTGCTTCCGGTCTAGGTACTATAGGTGCCCCCAGCTAGGTGCCCTTTTTTGATTCTTTTTGGGGGGGAGGGTTCCCCACTAAAATAGACTACAGAAAAAGTTGTTCCCTTAGTCTGACCTCTCTGCTGGAGGACCTTGGGTATTATTGTTACTGTAAATTGAACGTGTGTGTGTGTGTGTGTGTTTTTTTTGGGGGGGAATTCCAAATATGGCGTGGTTCGTCTTGGTGTCCTCCCACAGGCTTTCGGATTTACGTTGAGCACTTGGGTCACGAGCACACTACTGCTTTATGCTGTGTTGGTGACGTTGACTTCGGTCGTGGTGCTCTGAAATTTGGACTTTCAAAGGTCCTGTGGTTGAAGTCAGCTTATTGGAAACTCAGTACTCTGGATGGCTACCTCATCTTGGTTTGCCCTGGTTACCTACTATAATGGTAAGATCGGAAAGATGAGCCATTTGTGACGTGGCAAACTCCTTCTGCCGCGGTTTGGCGTCTTACTAGGCCCCCCGACAGCCAAAAAACTTTCTCCCTTTTCCAGGCGAGTTTACAACAAAACACTTTGCAAATCAAGCTCCCCTTCATGAGTGGCTTGGATTGGTGGTTTGGACATTTAAAGGAACCCCTGCTTCTTGTAGATGGGAAGCTGCTCCCTAACCTCCAAACCGTCAATCCAAAGCAACCAATCAGAGGAGGAAACGCCAATTCCAGGCATTGATTTGCAGTGGCATTGATCTGTAGTGGCCAGCTTTTGCTCATCAAAGATCAAGGTCCCTCCTTAGATCCTTATTTCGATTTGGTGAATCGTGATAGTTATGCTATCATAGTGCAGATTTGGGTTTATTTGGTCCCATCCTAAGAATCGATTTGGTCTCTTAGCTAGTGTTACTGAGTTGGAGGGTCCATATGCAATTCCCTGCTGCTTGCTTTTACTATCCTTGCTGTAGTTTACCTAGGCCCGCGTTCGATTGACTCTTTGCTTGGAGCGATGTGAAACGGAGACTTGAAGAGCCTGTCGAGCGTCAGGAGATTCGGAAGTTTTACATGGCAGACATGCAGAACAAGCACAAGTCCAAGGCAAGATCTGGGCGCGGCAGTTGAAAATTGGCATTTAGGCCCACCGCTTCCAGCTGCCACTACTGTATGGTATTCGCAAAACACCCATGATGTAAAACCAAGAGGTAAGAATCTCTGCGTACCTACTCTAGTGGTAACTGGAAGCACTGGGTAGGGTTGGCACGTCTGAGCAAATAAATGCGCATGACTTTCTGCGTATTTCAGATTTGGTCCAAAGGAATTTGAGGTCCCCCGTTGCCCGCTGAAGGTGTGTTTTCCCTTACAGCCCAAAGCGTTCCGCACCTGAAAAGACACGGCCAGCGTTGATGTTCTTTGAGAACTCAAGGGGCGGGGTTCTACTTGGCAGTCGCGTAAGTCATAAGTGGGCTTCGGTTTGTTCCTAGAGTCTCCATGACTCCATGACCCTTAAAAAATGGTTGGTCATTACCTAAACGAATGGTTGGTCATTGACCCATTCTTATTTCGGGTCAGAGTTGGAGACTCCAGGTTTGCTTTTTTGGGTTGGCGTCGGCTGGAAATGGCTCTGGTGGCTCGGCCGATCGGTCGCCGAGGCCCATGTGGATTTCCCTTCAAGCCCATGGGCCATCCGACTCGGAATGGACGTGGGTCCCAAAAAACCAGACGGAGCGGCCGCACAATGCCGGATGGTTCTCTGGTATCTAACCCCGGGGTTTGAAGGGATCTTACTTGGAGAACTCAAGTTTGTTTGCGGATGTCCCTTCCAGTGAACGTTTTCACGGGTTTTCGAAGTTGTTGTTGTTGTTGTTGTTTTTTTTTGGGGGGGAGTCGGCGGGGAGTGTCCTCGAACAACCCTTTTGAGAAGGATGTCACCTGAATGGACCCACTTGACTACTCCCTGAAGTCTTGTGCTTTGACCCAAGTGACAGGTAACATATTGTCTTGGGCAAACTATAGTGAACCCTAATTAGCTTTTTCCAATCCACAGTATCTCGGTAAAAGATGTTCACTTGTCACAAGGAATGAGCGAACCAAGAACCAGGAAAAACCAACGGTTCTTTCTTCTGGGTTCCCTCAAAGAGAACGATCAATTCGTGATGCAGGTTTTGGGATTTTGGTCATCTGAAATGCAAAGACAGGAGTAGTGGCAAGCAAGGATTAATCAACTTAGAGTTGTGCCCAGTTTTGGTGGCTCCCTATTGTTTCACCAACTACTAACGTCCGGGTCGACATTTCTATTCAAAGAGGTTGGCCTTTGGACATATTCTCTGGCATACAGGGGCGCAAGTGCATTTCTGGGAGTCGCAAGCACAAGGTGGACTCCATGTCAGGAACTGATTCACCACGAAGCAAGTTTCACTCCAAGTGGAACGTGTGAGAAGATGAACGCTGACCTAGGTTACCCAAAGGGTCCCTTGGTATCTTACATGGGCGGATTGGAGGAATCTGTAGCTGTGTAGCTGACGAATCCATGAAAGAACCAAACACCGTAAATAATGGGGTACTTGGACTCTAGGAACCATTTGGTAGGCCACACATCCATGTGTGTGTGTGTACCGCTTGAGTGGAGCCGAGCGTTGCTTCTGCGCATCTTCTCAATGTTCAAAAGGCACGGCGGTTGGCTCAAGAAGCAGGTAACTTGCTTACGAGCTCATAAGGAGCGGGCAATTCAGGGAGTTAGCCGAAAACCCAGGCAGCCAGGGTTTTGGCTGACCCAAGGATTTCCTGGAGATATTTCCGCAAGCTTCGAGAAGAGACCAGGTTAGGTGTTGATAAGGCGCTTCATCACCCGAAAGCGAGGGAAGCTTAAATATCTCAGAACGAGACTCGCTGGTGTTCAGAACGGTAAAATGACGTAGGCCAATCATGGATATGGCAGTTCTAATTGAAGAGCCCAGGGCGTGGTCGCTCCAGAACGGCATGTGCTCAGCTTTCGCATCATGTCATAGGCCTGTGCGGGAATCCCCTTTGTGCAAAACTTGTGGGGAGGGAAATTCCATTAGATAACATTCGGGTTGTTTCTGATGGGAATCCCATTTTGGTACCACAAGGGTTACATCGTTGTTTGGGACCGCCATTGTTCGCTGCTGTTTTCTGAAGGCAAACATCAAACGCAACTCAAGACTCGGGGAGTTGGTGGTGCCGGTCTTAGGTTTATCTGAAGCCGGACCCTTCGGTGAGCCCCAGTGCGGTCCCGGGTATGCTCCTTGAGCATTTTTGCACGCCTCGGATTGGAAACCATCGGGGTCCCCATTCTTTTGCTTCAGTCCCTATCTTTTGCTTCATTCAACCCAGTTAGTGCCTCTTCAGGCCACTCTAGTAGCATCCAGTAACCAGTGGTCTCCCCATGTCAAATTCCTAGAGGCAAGCAAAATGGGGCAAGTTTTCGTTTCGCCTGGGATCCACTGGGAGGTGTAAAGAGGGACGTCACCTTAGTCGTCGTCGCATTTCTGGCAGCCGCTCGCTCGTCATGGGCTTTGGCGGCCGCGGCCGGCGCCGCGGTGCCATCGGCGCCGACCCCAGCGCCAAGGGCGGCAAGGGCGGCGTTCGGCACCCGCGGAAGCGCCGGCGGGAGGAGGCTGGGGCAAGGGAAAGGAGGGGGGGGGGGGGCGAAGGGGGGGAGGGGATTGGGGGAAACAGGTGCTTGCGGGAAAGGGAAAGGGGGGGGGAAGGGGCGGAAACAGGTGCTCCAATGAGTGCCTTTCGGATGGCGGAAATTGGTTGCTTCGATCATTTCGGATGGTGTTGTTAGGGGCGCATGTCCCCAGGAAAAGTTGCCCCTGCTGCGGTTGGGCTATGGCCACTTTGTTTCATATGTGTTCTGCGTTTCCCTTCACATCCACAAAGAGTTCCTCAATTGAGGGAACTCCATAGTAGGTTGAACATCCACATTCACTCGAATCCTCTGAAACGGCATACAATAGAAACCTTGGATTGTCCAGAAAGCAACCCATTCAGTACTCAAAGGGTCCAACTATATGCCCCCAAAATGTGCGGTGTTTGATTCGGTTGAAGGGGATTCGTCCAATACAACTTGAACCCCTTGGAACTTGAACCCCTTGGGGTAGCCCCAAATGACCAACGTGACATGTTGTCCCGCCTAAGGAGGGCGGGACCCGAAAACATGTCTGTAGTGCGATCAAATCGCCGTCAGCACCTTTTGGAAACAAAGGTGTTTCCATTGATCCCGCAAAAGGTTGATCACGACCTTTTGCTCGTGCGGAGGGAGCAACCCAGACAGCTCCTTAGTACTTGAGTCACTTTTGGGGAGGGCCATACTAATAGTACGACAATGTCCGCTTTTAAGTGAGACAAAGACCACCATTTGGTTCCATTGAGCGGACAAGCGAGCGGAGCCTGACAATGGCTTTCAAGCGCAGGCTCGCGCAGCCAGAACAATGTGTCAAGCGCGCATTGGAGCATGAGCTCGGCCCTTCCTGTCCAACTAAATGATCGGGAAGAGGGAAATGCCACACTCAGCCAGGCAAGCATGCTGGCATCTATTTTTACGTCATGTGGCCGTGCTGAGTTTACTCTCAGATAGGTTTTAACAACATTACCCACTATGACTTATTGGTAGGTGACAGGTGTGGTACCTTCAAATACTACAGTTCGCTCAACCGCAGTCTTCACGGTTGGAATAGGGAGTTGCGATGTTCCTCTTTGGTCTCAGGTTCCTTCCAGTCATGCGCTCTTCTTAGACTTCTAGGGCTTGATTCCTTTTCCATTCTGCTCAACCATCGTTCTTTCCGAAAAGCGGATCCGTTTTCAACCTGGGTTTCCGGAGGTGTCTAGAAAGAAGGATCCCTGGAAAGAATGGGGAAGGTACCCCTAGATAAAAACTCAGTGGTTCGAAGCAGATCGACCTTTTAGCCTTTCGATGTTCCTTTTTTGGTCCAGCCACTAAATCCCAGGCAACCCCAGATAGGTAGCCAGCTGTCTTCCTTCTGCTTTCTACTGCGCCAGCCCTTGATCAATGGATCCATGGGCCACTTTTACAGGTTAGAGCTGATCACCTTTGGCTTCCGGGTCCTTTGGGCGAAATAAAGAAACCGGAGGAGCGAAAGTCGATGGACATCTGCATCAACTTCCTGAAAACCCGCACCGGTTCAGAAGCACCAAGCAAGAACTCGGCAAAGACCCCATTTCCTTCACCAGAATTCGCCCCCTTTTTTTTGGCTTTTTTGGGGTTCCCGTTGTCTTCCACGAACCAGGCAAACAAGATATATATTTTTTTGCCGGGGTCCGATTTTGCCAGCCAAGTTTCATTGACTCCAATAGGGCCTGGGTTTGGGTGGTACCCTTCTCAGGTTGACCACCAAAACGAAAAGCAGCACTATCAAACTGGCTATGAACGTCAGTAGGCTCCACTTTGAAGCCATTGTTTGTTGCGGTATTTGCAGGGGAATCAAATCAGGGGTTCTTAGGTGGTGCGAAATGGACTTCGTCCATACACAGTAGGGAATCCACCTCCAAAGTGCTTGGTGGATATGAATCCCCACCTAATCCATCCGTCGTCACCTGCCTCGAGCTTCCCCCACGTCAAGCGTCCGACAGGCACCGAACGAACCGCATGGCCCGCATGGCCCGCATGGCCCGCATGGCGGCGTTTTGGAGGCAAGGCGGAAGGAGGCGTTCTGAATGTCCCATGCTGGGCTGGGGGTTGATTCCCCATTCGTTTCAACCATCGTTCTTTCCAAACACCAGCGTTTCCCCAGGGTTTTGAAAGAAGGATGCATGGAAAGAATGGGGAAGGTACCCCTAGATCCAGGGGTGGTTTGCTCTTGGTTGTTTCTCAAAATGGGGGCTGATCAATATTCCATGTAGGGCCCAAAGTGACCATGGGTAGCTGTTCCCAGGTGGTGAAAAGTTGTCGTTTTTGGTGGTGTCACTAGTGGTCACCCCATGTAGAGAGCCTTTTGATCAACCCCCAAATAGAGGAACCACTAGAAAACGTGTGTTTTTCTCCCTGGTTCCTTCAAAACCCACAGAAAACAACTCGGGCCTTATCATTTCAGCAAGCCCGATTTGCCTGGAACCTCCATGACCCCTTTGGAATGCGGTCATATTTCATGACCATTGAACGCAATGGCTGCGCCTTTGCATAGTTTTTTTTTAATGCTCCCCTACTCCAAAAATTAAAGGACCGGATAACCCCACATGCTATGTTTTTCCCAAGGATGTGAGTTCAAATGTCTGGACACAAAGCTTCTGCGAGCCCAATCTCAACATCCAACAGCTTGCCTCACAATGCATGCCTCATGTACTCACAGCTCTGCACGTACACAAGCCTTGTAGACGACCCTTTAGACATCCGAGAAGTGTGAGTGAGTGTGAGTATGAATGCGAGCGAATGAGTGACAAAATGCTGCCCCTGCCACACAAACACACACCCAGACGCACAGAATGCTGCGCCTGCCACGACTTCGGCAATGGCATCTCCAAAGTGCCGCGCCTGCCACGATTTCGCACGCCCCCCGCCGAGCGCGCAACGCCATCCTGTCCTTTTAGACAGCTGCCAAATGCTGCCCCTGCCACACAAACGCACACCCAGATGCACAGAATGCTGCGCCTGCCCTGCCACACAAACACACACCCAGATGCACAGAATGCTGCGCCTGCCACGACTTCGGCAATGGCATCTCCACACCCAGATGCACAGAATGCAGCGCCTGCCACGACAGAGGCAACGGCATCGCCAAAGTGCTGCGCCTGCCACGATTTCGCACGCCCCCCGCCGCGCGCGCGACAACATCCTGTCCCTCTAGACAGCTGCCGAATGCTACCCCTGCCACACAAACACACACCCAGATGCACAGAATGCTGCGCCTGCCACGACTTCGGCAACGGCATCGCCAAAGTGCTGCGCCTGCCACGACCCGCGCGCAACATCCTGTCCCTCTAGACAGCTGCCGAACCCCTGCCACACAAACACACACCCAGATGCACAGAATGCTGCGCCTGCCACGACTTCGGCAACGGCATCGCAAAGTGCTGCGCCTGCCACGATTTCGCACACCCCCCGCCGCGCGCGCGCCAACATCCTGTCCCTCTAGACAGCTGCCGAATGCTACCCCTGCCACACAAACACACACCCAGATGCACAGAATGCTGCGCCTGCCACGACTTCGGCAACGGCATCGCCAAAGTGCTGCGCCTGCCACGATTTCGCACACCCCCCGCCGCGCGCGCGACAACATCCTGTCCCTCTAGACAGCTGCCGAATGCGACCCCTGCCACACAAACACACACCCAGATGCACAGAATGCTGCGCCTGCCACGACTTCGGCAACGGCATCGCCAAAGTGCTGCGCCTGCCACGATTTCGCACACCCCCCGCCGCGCGCGCGCCAACATCCTGTCCCTCTAGACAGCTGCCGAATGCTACCCCTGCCACACAAACACACACCCAGATGCACAGAATGCTGCGCCTGCCACGACTTCGGCAACGGCATCGCCAAAGTGCTGCGCCTGCCACGATTTCGCACACCCCGCCGCGCGCGCGACAACATCCTGTCCCTCTAGACAGCTGCCGAATGCTACCCCTGCCACACAAACACACACCCAGATGCACAGAATGCTGCGCCTGCCACGACTTCGGCAACGGCATCGCCAAAGTGCTGCGCCTGCCACGATTTCGCACACCCCCCGCCGCGCGCGCGACAACATCCTGTCCCTCTAGACAGCTGCCGTGAGTCAGCGAGTGTGAGTGAGTGAGTGAGCGAGTGAGTGAGTGAGTGAGTGAGTGAATGAGAGTGAGTGAATGAGAGTGAGTGTGAGTGAGTGAGTGTGAGTGAGCGTGAGTGAGTGAGTGAGTGAGTGAGTGAGTGAGTGTGAGTGAGTGTGAGTGAGTGAGTGAGTGAGTGAGTGAGTGAGTGAGTGAGTGAGTGAGTGAGTGAGTGAGTGAGTGAGTGAGTGAGTGAGTGAGTGAGTGAGTGAGTGAGTGAGTGAGTGAGTGAGTGAGTGAGTGAGTGAGTGAGTGAGTGAGTGAGTGAGTGAGACAGTGATGAGGAGGGAGGGCGGGAGGAGGAGGAGAAGGAGACGCGGCGCGCGGACGACGAGCGGTAAAAGTAAGAACCCCACACAAAGATGTGGGGAAAAAGCGTTCTCTCAGGGTATTTGAGCCACGGAGGGTCTCATGAAACCTACCTTCATCACCTCATGACGTTGCAAACCCCTCGGAACGTGGCGTCGCTACTGTTTGCCCAGAAAGATAAATCAGTCGTATCCCTTGTTGGATGGTACTTGAAGTCTCCACCCTCAAAAAGCTGGGTTACCCAAAATACAGGGGTCAGGAAGCATTGCACATGTAGAAGATCAATCGAAAGGACATACTGACACTCGCTCCCTGAGTTTATGTTAGTAGCAAACAAGAAGTTTGGTTGCTTGTTTTGGCCAATCTACTCAGGAAGTGAGGCGTAAAGATATATTTGGAGGCATGTCATGTGAGGCAACAGACCGAATTCCTCGAGGAATGCGGCTTCAGGGATGGGTTTATAGGGAAACCAAAAGGAGCACCCAAATTGGGTCCCTTCAAGTGGACCCTTGGAGGAGTTCTCGCCATTACCTTTTGGAGTGGATTCCCTTTAGACTGTGAATCCCAGTAGCCAGCATAGAAGGTGACGTGCGATTTTCCTCTTGGTTTCTCAAAGGTTCTTTTGGACACCTACTACATACCTTTTTCCAACAAGTCTAGGTCCCCCAGTAGTGCCCTTTTACCCTTTTTTGGGGGAGGGTTCGCGTACTAAAATAGACTACAGAAAAAAATCGGGTACCAACTGATTCTTACCTTTGTACTGGAGGACCTAGGACTATATACCCTTTCTCCACTCAATGATGGAAGTGGGCATTTGGCGCCTTTTCAAGAGGGTGCACGATTCTCGACGTTGGAAAAAAGGTACCTGGAGTCTTGGTTTATGTTTTAACTTTAGCCTTCTTTGGATGTTTTTTGTTTTTTTTCTCCGGGGGGTACCCCTTTTTGGGATGGTTTTATGCGGAGACCAAAGGGATAACTCACCCATTTTGCGGGGGTACCTCTTTTTGGGATGGTTTTTCGGGAAACCAACAGCACACCCACCCATTTTTTGGGGGGCACCCCTGTTTGGGATGGTTTTATAGGGAAACCAAAAGGCACACCCACCCATTTTTTGGGGGGTACCCCTTGTTGGGATGGTTTTATAGGGAAACCAAAAGGCACACTCACCCATTTTTGGGGGGTACCCCTTTTTGGGATGGTTTACAGGGAAACCAAAAGGCACACCCACTCACTTTGCGGGGGTACCCCTTTTTGGGATCGTTTTATAGGGACACCAGAAGGAACACCCGCCCATTTTTGGGGGGTGCCCCGTTTTGGAATTGTTTTTTAGGGAAACCAAAAGGAACACCCACACAACAAAGTACATGGTTGGTTGTGGTAAAGTGGGAATCAACCCCTGAGAACACCAAGCTCATCTTTCTTCTTTGTGAGCGAAACGCTTCGTTTCGTTTGTGCGCCAGGTGTCGGACGCCTCTGCAGTGCCAGGGCCCAGCGTTGGCGTTAACCATCTACCGAGTAATTTTGTGGCTGTCACAACTTCAATGCTGCTTCATACGCTTCATATTGGTTTGCCCCTTGGTTTCAAAAAGGCATCTATCACTACTATACTGTTTTGTTCTGCCTTATTTTGGGCTTATTTGGGCTCCCTCCCCCTCCCCTCCCCGCCCCCCCCAGCCCCCAGAATTAATCCTTACCCGTGGTTACCAAAGTGGCCCCGGTTTTCAGCGGTGTCCCAATAGGGTTCATGGGTTGGGATTGGCCAACACTAAATTTTGAACAGCCCAGACTTATGCAAATGGAAGATGCGTAAGTGACTCCTTGACCCTTGAAGAGTACATCCTCAGTTTGTTTGATTGAGCAGCGCCTGAACCTCAAGGGATTCCCAGTTTAGTTGGGGTTGTCGTTTTGTTTTGGTGGTTGTGGTTTTCAATGGACGGACGTCGGAATGCAACACCATCCAATGGCTTGTTGTCACTTTACTTGGCGGTTCTGAACCAGCGAATCATCCGGTTCCTTAGGCATTTTAGTTGTTTTCAGTTGGTTTAGTGGTTGGGCTTCCATTTATCACACAAGGTGTGGACTTTTAGGGGATCAGACAACGGACAGCCCAGATTCTGATGTTGGACACTTGAGGGTTTTCAACATGGGCCACAGCTTTTGTTGGGTGCTAATTGGTAACAGTACTCGCCCTTTATCTCCATCCTTGGTGGCTCCCAGCCATCCCCTTAGCTTTTTAGCTTTTTCGTGTCTAGTGGTGTTTTCCATTTAGCCCACCAAAAGTGATTCACTTTTAGCGGGGGATCTGAAAACGGGCAGCTCAGCATCAACCCTTGGTTGCTTGAAACAAGGGCCTTGGCGTTGATCTCCGAAAGTCCATGGGTGATTCGGGTGCTGCTCACTTCGCGCGCGAAATTTAGGCGTTGGGAACGGCCCTGCAGCGTCTCCTGGGCCGTGTGCCCGAACCGGACGACAGCACCTGGGCGAGGGGCTACGGTGTTCTAAAGGGGCCTGGCTGTTGTTGGGGTACCAAACAACAGAGGGTTCCCCCCAAAAATGACACCCACAAATGTGTGTGTGTGTGTGTTTGTGGGTGCCAACTTTGTTGTGGTTGTAAAGGGAAGCCAGAAGGAAGACCTACATTGTGGAGGGGGTCCCTGAAAAACGGACCCACCCAAATGTACGGTATGTATGTGTGCGTGTGTATGTGTTGGTTTTGAGGGCAGCCAATTTTGAATATGCTTGGTCCGGGACACCACTAGGAAACAGACATTTGTTTTGTGTGTATATGTGTTTTGTCTTGAGGAATTCACCTTGGGGTTTTCTCGAGGCGGTCCCCGGGTCACGATACACACCCCAGCGTACAGACTCAGACTAGACCACGGTTGGCCCGAAAGCAGAACATCGCAAGCGAGGTCGGCCCAACGCTGCAGGATGCGTTCTTTTTCCCTACACTTCGTGAAGCAAGCGCGAGACAGCACCAGGCAAGGTGCTCTGCGCAAACTGGTCGGTGCAAGTTGGTCTGCGCAAGTTGCTCTACGCAAGTTGCACTGTGCAAGTTGCTCTGCGCAAGTTGCTCCGCGCAAGTTGCTCCGGCAAGTTGGTCCCTGCAAGTGGCTCCCTGCAAGTTGCTCTGTGCAAATTGCGCTCCCTGCAAGTTGCTCTGTGCAAGCTGCTCTGTGCAAGTTGCTCTGTGCAAGTTGCTCTGCGTAAGTTGCTCTGCGCAAGTTGCTCTAGGCAAGGCGCTCTGCGCAAACTGGTCGGTGCAAGTTGGTCTGCGCAAGTTGCTCTGCGCAAGTTGCTCTAGGCAAGGCGCTCTGCGCAAACTGGTCGGCGCAAGTTGGTCTGCACAAGTTGCTCTGTGCAAGTTGCTCTGCGCAAGTTGCTTTCAAATGCAAGTTGCATCTTGCGACGCCCGCCCCGCGGACCAGGGAGGAATCGAACCCGACAACTCCCGAGGACAACAAAAAAAAAGCGCAAAAAACCTCGAGTTTTTGCACCTCGACCACGCCGATTCCCGCAGAGGGTTGCGCGAGCACCGCAGAAATCGCAAAAAAACCTCGAGTTTTTGCACCTCGACCACGCCGATTCCCGCAGAGGGTTGCGCGGGCACCGCAGAAATCGCAAAAAACCATGGGTTTTTGCACCTCGACCACGCCGATCCCCGCAGAGGGTCGCGCGGGAACTTTAGAAATCGCAAAAACCATGGGTTGTTGCACCTCGACCACGCCGATCCCCGCAGAGGGTCGCGCGGGAACTTTAGAAATCGCAAAAAACCATGGGTTTTTGCACCTCGACCACGCCGATCCCCTGCAGAGGGTCGCGCGAGCACCGCAGAAATCGCAAAAAACCACTGGTTTTTGCACCTCGACCACGCCGATCCCCGCAGAGGGTCGCGCGGGAACTTTAGAAATCGCAAAAAACCATGGGTTTGCACCTCGACCACGCCGATCCCCGCAGAGGGTCGATTTTCGTGTAGCGTCGTCGGCACTACCCCGCCGCCCTAAGAGGAGATTTTAACTCCTCGCAAGTCAATTGCACTTGACTCCTTGCACTTGCAACTTGCACTTGGCTCCTTGCTTGTTTCAAGGAGTCATTGCAAGGAGTCATTGCAAGGAGTCAGTGCAAGGAGTCATTGCAAGGAGTCATGGCAAGGAGTCATACAAGGAGTGATTGCAAGGAGTCATTGCAAGGAGTCATTGCAAGGAGTCATTGCAAGGAGTCATGAGAGCCATTGCAAGTTGCAAGGAGCCAAGTGCATGGAGTCAAGTGCAAGTCGCAAGTGCACGGAGTTAAGTGCAAGTTGCAAGTGCAAGGAGCCAAGTGCAAGGAGCCAAGTGCATGGAGTCAAGTGCAAGTTGCAAGTGCATGGAGTCAAGTGCAAGTTGCAAGTGCAAGGAGTCAAGTGCAAGTTGCAAGTGCAAGGAGTCAAGTGCAAGTTGCAATCCTTGCCATGACTCCTTGCAATGACTCCTTGCAATGACTCCTTGCAATGACTCCTTGCAATGACTCCTTGCAATGACTCCTTGCAATGACTCCTTGCCATGACTCCTTGCAATGACTCCTTGCAATGATGCAATGACTCCTTGCAATGACTCCTTGCAATGACTCCTTGCAATGACTCCTTGCAATGACTCCTTGCAATGACTCCTTGCAATGACTCCTTGCAATGACTCCTTGCAATGACTCCTTGCAACTCCTTGCAATGACTCCTTGCAATGACTCCTTGCAATGACTCCTTGCAATGACTCCTTGCAATGACTCCTTGCATTGACTTTCATGATGATGATTCCTTGCAATGACACCTTGTAATGACTCTCATGAGAACAACTCAAGTGAACCCAGCGGAAGAACCCTTCGCCATGCTTTCGGGAACAAGCAAAACAAAACTTGGCGGTTTCTTCGCACAGTTGAGAAGGTTTCTATTTGGCTGGTGTAGCTTCAAGGGAAACCAAAAAGGAAACCCAGCAGTTTTGAAGGGGGATATGTTTGGCTCTCAGCGACAATCGACTATAGTAGGCAACCAGGGGTTGCCCATGGTGTAAAACCTAGAGGCAACCATACCGAAGGGTTGCCTATCGTGGGAACTGGAAGCACCGGGATACCACAAAAGATAGGTGGACCCCTTGCTTGGTTGGCTGGTTAAAGGAAACCACATGGGAACCCAGTCATTGTTTTTTTTTGGGTGGGGAAGGGGGGGGAGGGGGGAGGGGGGAGGGGGGCCCCAATTTGACACCCCCCAAAACTGGGCGCAGCCCTTGTTAACAGTTAAAAGGGAACAAGGAGACGAACCATTGAGGCCAAATTTCGAGCAACAGCATGGAAGGATGGACCATTGGCTTATCCGTTCGAGTGTGACTCCAATATACCCTCGAAAGATTTTGTGTTTCGAGAGGACCCCTCCAAGAATATACACATATATACATATATATGTATATACACATATATATATATACATACATAATATATATTTACATAATATATGTATATAGATATTTACATTATATATATACAATATGTACACAGTATGGATCACAACCTGTTTTCAAAGGTGGGCGCTTGTGCTACCGAGTCATGTTTTTTTGGTTGGAGGGGAGTTACGCGTTAGGCTACTGCATCATTCTAAAGATTATCAGGTTAATCACCAAATTGAACATTTCAAGAAGGTGACCAGAGCGGAGGGTTGGTTGCAATGTAGATTGCGCTGAACCTCTTCCATGGGTTGAGTGATATGTTCAGGCAATCGTGGGCACCCCGGAACCAAGATTTACGATGCCCAGAGGGTTTTTGGGTACCCCTATAGGGTTTGGGTGAAAAAGGGATTCTTCATTAACATAGATTCCGGAAAAAGAGAAGAAGACACAAAAAGGCAAACATGGGTGTGTCCCGTCCCCTATTTGAATCAGCAACAGAGGGGTACCGAGCCTCAAAAAAGACGAGCCAACCATATGTAAGAACCCTTGGGACAGATGCATGAAGAATCTTGCTACCTGTGAAGCCTTGAAAGCTAGTGAGCTCTTCTTGAAATCGGGGACCCCAAAATGGGGTTTTGGTGTTCCTTCCGGCAGACAATCCATGTAGGTACTAGCACACATTTACCTTCATGTGTCAAATGTTGGTATATGTTATCATGGATTGTCTGGGGCTTCCCCTTTCAATCCAGCCAGAAAGGGGTATTTCCTAAGAGTTAACATGGAACCCAAAAGGGGGTCCCATTCCCAAAAGGAGCTTCCTCTACAAATGGGTGTGGCTGTTTTGAAGGGTACCCATTTGTGCTGTGACTTTAAAAGGAAAACACCAGGGAAACAACTGACCATTTTCATATATATATATATATACGTACATTTTTTAAATATATATATATATAAATTGTGGGGGTCCTTTTTAAAGATATTTTGTGGGGGGAGGGTCCCATGAAAGAAGACATCCCCAAATGGGCGCGGAAACATCGGCTTTTTGGGGTTCTAGTCACTCGGGGCCGCAAGCCATGAGGAGTGTTCCACTTCGACCCGGGGCGGAACCGCGCCACCATGGAGTTGCCCAGCCTGAGGCGAGCGGTCCGGCGGTGTCGGTGTCGTTTTCCGCAAAACGGTAAGGCGTGGTTTTATTGTTTCTTGTTGGAAGGGAAAATGATCAATAATACCTGCTAGCCGCACAAGAATCCATTCAGTTCAGGCACAAGTGTGGTTTCTGAACAGGATGGGTGAAAGGAATGGGAAATCAACCCTAGAACATGTACTTCCATTTGCTTAAGAATATTGTTTATGGTCCCCTTTGGGTTGTTGAGGGAATCTATCACGACTGGATTGTTTTTCCATCCTCAGGGGGATGCCCTGGAAGACTTTGACGGTTCTCGAACGGGGACCGAGGTATCAGGGTTTGCCGAATTCTACTGACACCTTCCCCATTCTTTCCAGGGATCCTTCTTTCTAGACAACCCCCGGAAACCCAGGGAGAACAAAGAACGATGGTCAAAAGAATGGGGAATCAACCCCTAGAAGAACAATTAAACCAAGTACGGTGTTTCTATGCTTGCCTGAGCAAGTGTAAACATCACTTGTTGTTTTACCCTTTTTCGGCCGATTGTAGCCCTGAAGCAAGTGCCAACAGTCCTCAGTTGCCAAGTGGTGCCCGTTTTTTCCTTCCTTTTTTGGGAAGGTTCCCCTTCAAAGTGAAACAGCCAAGAAAAGGCTTACCTCTTAAAAAACTCCACAACTTTTCAACTTTTTGGGTAACATGTTCTATATGTCTGTAAAAGATGAGAACTTCCCCACACCGCAGGGAGTTTTAAGGGGCAAGATAACGTGTCCTTTTTCTCCCATGGCCCCTGGGCATCTGAGAGTCTCACTCGCAGTGACTCCGGGGAGTTTTTGCTGGGCGCGCCTTCCGCTAGGTCTCAGGAGGGATCTGAAAAGCATCATCTGGGTGTTGTGTTTCTTGAGGCTCGGTTCCCCCTTTCTCACTTCCTGAGTTCATGAACTTTAAACTTTTTGGGGCTGGACCATTTTAGTGGTAAATGCAAAGTTTGAACTTTTTTTGGGCCATCCACTCAGCAAGTGAGCTTTTTGGTGGTTTAACACCAAAAGGACAGCCACCAAAACAGAAGGGGGTTCCCGAAAATCACAGGATGCTATCCCCCCCCCCCAAAGGCTCCCCCCCCCCCCCCAAATCTGGAGTTCCAGAATAAGACCTGAATTGGCGGCAAGGCCTTAATAGAGCATTATTTGTTCGTGATTAGGGCCTTATTAGGGGTCCAACAATAAACCTTATTAAGCCGTTGCTAGCGGCTTATTAGAACACCAGACCTGATTTTTCTTGAACAACAAAAACATGACCTTATTCGGGGTTTTGCAGTCACACATGTCACCAGTTGCAGTTGCGGGAACGAGTTCCTTAACAATGCCTTAAAAAAGGGGCAAACTCTTCCACTGGGTGGCCGAGGCTGCAATTCTTGTTTTGGCACTAATAAAGCTTCGGGGGCATCAGTGGAACTCCTTGTCACCCAAAGACACATTGTCTTAATAAGGGTTTTGGTTTCAAAAACATGTCTGGACGCTGTGTTGAGCATGAACCCTGAACAATGTGCTGCGCTGCCCCCCTATGCTGATTTGGACTTGCGACCCTCAACATGCTAGGATCAAGGACTTGCAAAATCAATGTCTTCTGACGGCTGTTTTATTGGGGCTGGCCCCCAAATGAAGCAATCTTGGTTTGCCGGCAAAGTCGGGCGATGGAAGCTTAATAGGGGTCAGTGTGTTCTACTCAAGATTTGGGCCTGTAACCCTTAACATGCTAGGATTAAGGAATTGCAAAATCAGTGTTTTCTGACAGCTGTTTTTGGGCTGGACCCCGATAAAGCTAATTTGAATCTCAGGATTTGGGGGGAGCTTTGGGGGGGGATAGCATCCTATGGTGGTTTAAAACCAAAAGGACAACCACCATTTAGGGGGTTCCCTAAAAACACACACACACACACTTAGAGGGGCAGGGTGCTTAGTAAGTGGGTAATAACCATGGTTATAACCCACTTACCGGGGTTATAAGTCTCCTTATAAGTCTCCTTACTAGTCACTTACTAAGTGCCCTGCCCCTCTAAGCACCCATACACTCCTTCTAGTGGGACTTTCAAACGTTGCGGTAAGTTTTGGCAACGTGTCCAGCTCGCTTCTTGCCAATGTAAGACTCACTGCAGATTGCCACGGTGAAGCCGTACGATCTTTGTGTGACCTTGAAAAGCAGCTCTGCAAAATGGCTCTGGCGACCAACCCAGATTCGCCAGATTCGCTTATTTCGAGATGCAGCTTTTTCACATACCGCTCCCACATGGGTCTCCCTCTGCTTTCTCCTCAAACACCAAACAGGTTCCCAGCGGATCCCAGTTATCACTAAGTCACTATAGTGGGCAACCAGCCATTTTCCGTTTGGCTTTCAAAGCGTGACTCCCTTGGTTACTTACTTCACATGGGTTTCTCACTAGAAACGCACGCACGCAAACACCAACACACAAACACACAGACATAAACCCACACACCCACACACCCACCCCCCAACCAACACCCACACACACACACACACACACACCTAAGCGTCTCTTGATACCGTGCTAGGAGACATTTTGACCCCTAGTCCCCACCCGACCCGGGTTTGGGGTCTGAGTCCCGCCAGACCTCCGCAGCAGATCAGCTGCGAAGTGGAGATGGAGGAGGATACGCCCTTCGGCGCCGCGGCTGAAAAACGAACTTCCCCGCTGGGGTTCAGTTTAAATACCAACCTAAGACTAGGTCCCCCAGCTAGGTGCCAACTTTTACACCCTTTTTTGTTTGGGAGGGCTCCCCTACTAAAATAGACTACAGAAAAAGGGTACCCTTATTCTAACCTCTCTACTGGAGGACCTAGACGTGAAGAAACTCTCATGATCTGGGGGTTGATCAACAGGTCCGTGATGCATGGGATGACCATTGGGTGGAAAACCCCGAGAAAAAGATGTGATACTGTGGATGGACGAATTCTTGCACCACTTTGAAACCATGGCAAACCATTGTTGGTTGGTATTTATAGGGGCATCATCATTCCAGAATTTCTTAGGTGGTGCGAAATGGATCTCGTCCATGCAAAGTAGGTCGGCCACCTGGGCAAAGTCTCACCCACGGCCGGGGGCATGGAATATTCTAGGGGTGCCTTCCCCATTCTTTCCAGGGATCCAGAAAAAGCAGACCTGGTTTTTGAGAAAAGAACGATGGTTGAAACGAACGGTCGGTCTTTTCAACCATCGTTCGTTTCAAAAGCCCGGGTTGTTGATGGTGTTTTAGAAGGAAGGATCCCTCGAAAGAATGGGAAAGGAAGGTACCGTAAGAAATACTGTGGATGGACGAAATCCTGCACCACCTGAGAAACCCGGGAATAATGATCCCCCTATAAATACCAACAAACAATGGCTTCCTATGGTTTCAATTTGGTGCAGGATTTTGTCCATCCACAGTATTGATCAACAGCTCAGGGCAGAGCTGCCGGAAGGCGTGGGAAGTTTTAATTTCCGGACCACGGGCTCTTTTTTTGGGCGGTCCCGGAATTCTAGGGGGTGATTCCGTTTCCATTCGTTTCAACCATCGTTCTTGAAAAACCGTCCCTGGGTTTCCGGAGGTTTTCTAGAAAGATTCGGATCCCTGGAAGGAACGGGGAAGGTACTCCTAGAACGAGGCTCAGTGCAGATTCGCTGGGGTTTGTTTCATGAAGCCTCAAAATGGGGGGGAGGGGGGGTTGGCTTTGAGTTTCCCCTTTAAACACATGCAAAAGGGACACAACCACACTGTTGGTCGATTTGCACCCGTCCGCAGCTTCTCCCGTAATCCCAAAAAGCATTGGACTGGGCTGGGAGATGACTGCGCCCCTCGAAGAAGTGCATTTTAAGGCCTTGTTTGGTTTGGCCGTTTGTTTGCTTGGCCTGAGCGGTAAGCAAGTCTGCATGAATGTACCAATGATAGATCGAGATTTAAACCCACATCAAGTGACTGACCTTTTACCTTCGTCTGCTGTCCTAAAATCGGGGATTCTGACCAGGGGCGTCTTTTTGCAACCTTTGGTGGAAAATGATGGACCACCAAATAGTGAAGGATTCCGAAGGGGGTCGCCAATTTTCTCACGAAAGGTGGCAAGACCCCCCTGATTCTGACAAAATGGGGTACCCCATTGCGAGTCTCCTTCTGACCCTTAAAACATGGTTGGTCATTACCCAAAACAATGGTTGGTCATTGACCCATTTTTATTTGAAGGGTCAGATTTGGAGACTCCAGGTAGTTTTGACCTTTGGTTCCCTTTGAACCCACCCCAAATGCCGAGGCACCCAGGTCCGGCAGCCGAAAATGGCTGCACCGCCGGGGGTTTTCTCCACGTTAAGGATGTCCAGGCAACTAGGTGCCCCAGCTAGGTGCCCTTTCTCACCCCTTTTTTGGTTGGGAGGGTTCCCCTACTAAAACAGAGAAAAAAGTAAAAAGTGGGTATCCTTGTTCGAGGACCTAGGCAATTTAGGAAGGGTATAACCAGGGTTATAAGTAGGGTAAATGGGGTTGGTTCCCTTATAAAACCATTGTCATAACCTACCCGACGTGGGTTGAACATCCAAGTTTCAAACCTTCCCAAAGAAACCTCCGCCGCTCCACCCGGAAAACATCGCGCGCACGCCTTTCGCACGCGCGGATGGGTCGACCCGATGTGAGCTGAGATGAGCTGTCCAGCGGGGAGCAGCAGGCCTTGAGGCAGGCGGCGGAGCGGAAGATCTCGCAGCTCATGCTCCAGGAGAGATCCGGGGGTTCGACCCCAGGGCTTCTTAAGCCAAGGGACGTCGAGCGGTTTCTTAAGCCAAGAAAAGGGCCCCAGCGAGATCCGCGGGTGCTCGATGCTCGACGGATACGACCCGCAAAAGTTTTCTTAAGCCAAGGGTTTGCTTTTTAGCCGACTCGTTCTCTGTTTACTCAACCGGGCGGGTTCTTCTGCCCCTGGAAAATGGGGCCACCCAAAAAGAAAGTGACAGAGAGCCGCGGGCCGATTCAAACCGAGCGGTCAGAGACGTCTCGGTGTCTGAAGCCAACTGACCCGTCGGTTTCGGGTGTTCCTCGTTTTGAAGCCAAAAAGAAAGCCCCTTCCACCTCTCGTTTCTCTTTTTCGCCATGCCGGAGTCTCCTTCTGAGCCTTAGAAAATGGGGCGCCGCGTTAAGCCAGTTTCAGCTGGGACCCATGTCAATGGCTTAAACAAGTGGCATAAGTCGCTCCAACCTTTGTGGGTTCCCGCACTCCGGACTCCGGGTCCCGTGTCCGTTTCCACAAAATCTATCCGGCATGGCCCATGGAAGGAGAGGGACATGGGCGCGCACTTGGAAGGACCGCACGGCCTCAAAACAGTTTTAGGCTGGTTTGGGGGCTGACTTCGGTTGGTTTCAGGTTGATTTCGGTGGTTGGCTTAGGGTCCTTGACATGCTAGACCTCAGTCACTCTGTGGGCGGGTCAGAATGAGCAGGAAGTTCGGACATTTGACCCAATGCACTCGGGCAGCGAGTCTCTGCTCAACAGGAAAATGGGGTTACCCAACATTCGGGCCAAGTGCCGCATATTTTTCCGGTTGAGGGTTTCTGCTCAGGGGGTTCCCCTACTAAAATAGACAAAACCGAAAAAGGTTGGTACCCTTCTTCTAACCTCTCAAATCTGGAGGACCTGGTAATGGTTCCAGCAAAACCAATCAGGTACCGTTGAACTGGTGGCTTTGGTTGTTTTGTGCTGGTGGTCCTGGGTCCTAGGACCCAGGACCTAGGAGAGGAGGCCTCCATTTGAGGCAATGGGCTCAGGAGCTAGAGTCGGAGGGCTTGCTCACGTGCAACTGGCGCAAGGCCATCGACGAATCGATGCGGACCGATTTTTCGAAGGGAAGATCGGGAACCATCCACCTGGAGTCTCCCTCTCACCCCCTCAAAAAATGGGTCCTTACCCAACATTTTGTGGGATAACATATTTCAGGGTACGCCATTTTTCAAGGGTCAGAAGAAGACTCCAGATGGAAGTAATGGGGGAACTAGCCAGGGAAAGCCTAGATTCAGATGAACTGGCACATCCCGTTCCATAAGGTTGGACATGGTCAGCATACGGGTTCTATTTGCCAAGGTAAGAACAACTGCTTAGCCACTTTTTTTAATGCCCTTATAACCATTCGAGGCTAGCCCATGTAGTCGCCGCAGGTCCGTTTTTTTGGGGCGAGGACATGGTACGAACAACATCAAGCCTTGGAACGCCAAATGCCAGAGATGAATGTACAACCACCCTTGGAGCCACAATCAAAACCTGGGTAGATCAAGTGGGCGCGGAACTTCAGCCTCTGATTCTTTACATGGTTTCGGTATGTTTCGGTCTCCCACGGAACCAGGTGTTGATGACTCACATGGTGCTCGGATGTACCGCATGCCCAGGCCTCGCCACGTGTCGCACCAACTGGCAGTGCCAGTTCCCCACGCGAACGGTAGCGACCCTGAGAACGCGGCAGGAGATACTTAAAGGGGCAGGGGGGGTTAAAAACCATGGTTAGAGCCTACTTACCTTAGCGGGGTAAGTCTCTGTTCAGTGGGTTATCTCGGCAGGCTTACTAGTCACTTACTAAGTGCCCGATTGCCCCTCTAAGTACTCCCTCGGAGCCGAGAATCTCGGCCTCACTCGCCTGACGTCTCGAAATGCCGACGTCTCGATATGCGTGCCGATATCTCCCCCAATCCGACCCAGGGGTTCCAGTTTGGCGGCGGCTTAGGTCGAAGAGCCAAAGGTCGAACATGGAGCTCAGTCCCCTTAAAAGGAACATGGTCTTGCAGGAACCGGTGCCTGTGGTATGTTTAGTTGTGGAAGGGTATGTCTTTTTGAGAGGTGCGCTTGGTGGGGGTTGGTTTTTTTCTCGGAGGCTCATGAAAAGGGGCTTTCCACTTTGCGAGGGGAACCTTCACTTTTTTGCTTGCCAGACTTAGAGGGGCAGGGTACTTAGTAAGTGATTAGTAAGCTTTTTTTTAGAAAGAAACAACTTAGGAGACTTGCAAGTGGGTTGTAAGTTTATAAGTTATAATCATGGTTATTACCCACTTACTAAGTACCCTGCCCCTGGAAGAAGTTTGACCTCAACCAGTAGTCACTCCCTGAGTTCCGTTTCGGACTTTAGTCACTTTTGGGGGCTGGACCATTTTAGTGGTAAGTAAGTTCAGACTCTGTTGGCCAGCAAGTGAGATTATGATCGCCCGTCCTTCTCAGGAACCAATCCAATTCCGATTCTCATCCTGCTCTCCAGAAACAAATCCTCTCCCCAGAGAAGATGGGGGTCCCATCCTGGATAGCCAGTTGCTGTTTTTCCATGCACTTTCCCCCCAAAGACCAGCAACAGGGACTGAACACAGCAGCAACTTGGCTATCTAGGATGCTTTGAACAAGATCCCTGCAGAGACTGGAACGCGGGGGAAAGTTCGCACGGCGTTGTTGAGATTTCGGACTCGCGCAGGGGGGCGTCGAATCTGCGCGGGAGGCGGGGGTTGGAAGCCAATGAGGTGGACGTTGGACTTGCATGCGCATATGTATATATATATATATATATACACACGTATTTCTAGAATGATGTGTAAACGATTAATATGACATATCTACACCTATACAGCACAATATGTAGTACGTATTTTTAGAGACGTTACATGTCCAAGGTTTCTCTGTTGTGTGGCGTGGTTGGATGTACATGATCAACCCAGAGGTGCTTGAAACCTGTGTGTGTGTGTGTTGTTTGTTCTTTTTGTTGAAGGGGCTTCAACGCATGCGGTGGTTGTTTTTGCCCTAGCAGTTTTGTTTTCTTTGTACTGGGGCTGCTGCCCTGGTCATCACCCGGCATCACCCGCACTTGGCAGGGGGTTTGGCTGGCTTAGGTGAGGGTGGGTCTTCATCCAGGTTGTTGGGCAATGTTGGGCGGGTTTGGGTTGGCTTCAAGATTATTTCCCAGAGGGTCGCTTGGTACCCCATATTTCTCCGGTTTTGGGTTTAGTTCAAGGGGATTTGTCAATTGCAGATTCCTCAAATCCGCAAATATGAGGTACTTGGACCCTTTAGGTTCGGTGTGCTGCTGGTTTAGCAGCTTGGGGTGAGGTTCAGTGAGTTCTCGTTTAGGACTGGTTTCCAAGACGACCCCTCGTGAAGACCTAAGCCAGCCAAAACCTCCCCAACCTGAAACCAGCCCCCAGCCAATTCCCAACTGCCACCCAATCAGAGCCAATAGGTCCAAGTGAGGCTGACGATGCTGGGGATGTTGGGGAAGTTGCCAGCCATGCGGAAAACCGGAAAACAACACCTCAATGTCAACAACAAAGCAGGGGTTCTGGAAGACGATTTTCCTGCCGCTTTGGGGCCTTCTGGTGGGTTTTGGTGTGGGGGCTTTTAGTGATACCATGAATGTTGATCAACCCCCCCAAAAAAGCAGGGTGGGCAAAATTGAATGGTTGCCAGGGGCTATGCCAAAGAACTTGAATGAGTTGTGTTTTACCGCTCGGCTGCATGGGCGCACGAGAGTGTGCAATCCCACCATGACAAGGGGAGAATGAGTCTGAGCCTGGCATTACGTGGAACCTCCAGCGCTCCCGGACAAGTAGCTCCCCACAAAACTAGGGCCCCATGTGAATTGCAACTAATGGCCCCTCCCCCAAGGTTTTCTCTACCTGGTTTCCTCCAAATACCACTTAAAGGCCTTATTGAGGTTATTTGGAGAGTCGGGGGCGGGGGCGGACTGGGAAGCACCACGCTTTTCAAAAGCCAGCATACCCCGCTTCTACCATCATCTCATCCTACGTGGAGTCTCCATGACCCTTCAAAATATGAGGGGTCACGGCGACCCATGTTCAAAGGGCCTTGGTCTGGGGGAGTTCCTCTCATGAGAGGCGCCGGTAGCGCTGATCCCCCGGAACCAGCGAGTGCGCACGGTGCCGCCGCGCGTCTGGGCAGCGCCAGGCCTGAATCCGGGGGTCCCAAGAACAAAGCAACGACAAGACGTGGTGGTTCCCAGCCGTCCGGTTCCTTAGGTTTTTGGCTGTTTTTAGTTTGTTTAGAGGGGGGTTCCATTTAATCCTCTAAAATGTTCAACTTTTAACAGATCTGGGAAGAGCCCAGAAAACGGGGGCGACGTTTTTCCGGCGGGAAACCTGGGGTTGAAGTTCGGAACCCCCGATGCTCACTTTCAAGGCTCTAGATTCGCTACGTGGGAGTCTTCGGGGGAGGGCCCCCCTACTAAAATAGACTACAGAGAAAAGGGTGTCCTTATTCTAACCTTTTTACTGGAGGACCTAGTAACGGAAACCAAACTGACACCCTTGCCATATCAGGAATTGACAGATTCCTGTTTTGAAATGTCACAACCACATGTGGCATGGGGCAAAAGCGGAGATTCAGGTCCCGGGGCAGGTGAGCGTACTTTCCTCAGTTGAGGAGATGAGAATGAGACAGTATCCAAATGTTGCAGAGGGGTTAAGGAGAGAATTGATGTAAGTGTTTCTCACTTATCCAAAGCCGTCCTTTTGACCTTGTGGTTTCCCCTTTTTGGTACACGTTTAGTCATGACCGCATAAGGTTGACCGTTTACTGAGGGAGGGGACAAGGAGGGGACTAATGTAAGATTTGAGTTTGCTTGATTCTGAAGCAATTTTGGGCATGAGAAGCAATACACATGCCACTGCGGCCTGGATGCTAGTAAGGGATGGTCTTCGATTCAAATCTGAGGCCAGTCTGTGATCTTCATGTTCCTCGTCGTTTTTTTTACGACATCCATCAAAGAGTCGGTCTCCCGTTGCCACCCTCTCCCAAGGTTTTGTCTTGCGGCCACCTTGCCAGTTGAGCCACAGGCGAACCTGGACAAATGGGGACAGTTGCAGCCGTAAATCGGTGCGGATATCCGCACGTGTTGATTCTTCACATTATGGTGTTGGGACTCCTTTATATACTGAGGGCACCTGCAAAGTTCTGTTTTCTGTTAGGGTACGCTGAATATGGGTGTGTGTTATTTTGAGGGCGCACCTTTTTTGGTGGTCTAAAAGCACCACTTTCTTTGGGGGGAGGGGGGGGTCCATAAACAAAGGCACACCCATATGAAGCATAGTCCAAAAATATGTTTTTCGTACCCCAAAGTTAAGCCAAATTTACGATATATGGTTTTTTGTTCAGTTAGGAGGGCGAGACACAAACTTCTAGCAACTCTTGGCGTAATCAAAAACAAACATGTTCCACATGCACAAAACAACACCTCACTTCCTGAGTTTCTGGACTTTATACTTTCTGGGAAGATCATCTTAGTGGTAAACAAACAGTTCATGGTTTTTTGTCGGGCCAACCCACTCAGAAAGTGAGAAGCAACAAAAACAACAAAAAACACAACATGCAAGGAAACATACCCATAGGTTTCTAGGTCCCCCAGTAGTGCCCTTTCTCACCTTTTTTTTGTGGGGGAGGGCTCCCCTACTACAATAGACTACAGAAAACAAAGTTGGTACCCCTATTCTATCCGCTCTACTGCAGGACCTAGGCTTTGAACCCGCGGCACCTTGGGCTTACCGCTCCTGTGCTATCGCATGGCTGCCCAGCATTGGTCTCAGCCATGCGAGCGCCAGTGACTCTCACTGAGCCAGGCACGCGCTCGGGGGAGCCGGTCTTCATGCGTCTCCGGAAGCTTCAGGACCGATGCAGTTGGATCTCGCGGATCGGGTCCGATGGCAGCGGGTCCGGGGGGCATTTGGGGCATTTGCCTGAAGCTGGTTGGACATGGGCGATGAACCTCCGGAGGAAAAGCACCGGGTTTTAGCGGGGAGCAGGGAAGCTGGGGGAAAGACTGGTAAACCTTAAGGAGAATAGTGGTGTGTGTCTTTTTGCGGGTGCCCCTGTTTTGGTGGTTGTAAAGGGAAACCACACGGAATTTCTGGCGATCCGATTCCTAAACAAAAGACACATTCTAACCCGGTTTACTGAGTTTACCGTATTTTCTGGACTTCTCCCTTCTAGTTTGGCGGACTAAATATGGTCAAGCCCTAAGAATTCCTAGCGCACTTGGTTCCAAATTGTGTTTTTAACGGGTCACCGAACTGGGGAGAAGGATTTGGCCCCCGTTGTCCGTTGTAGTAGATTCGGATTGGCCGACGCTCCCTTCTGAGCACCCCCCCCCCACTCTCATTTCACCCGTAGAACATTTGAGCGCGCAAAAGAATAGGGATCTGGACCCTAAGAACTGTTTTATTTTTTCCCTCTAACCCAAGCTGAAAAGGGTGCTCTCAACAATACTCACATGTCAACCCTTTGAATTACAATATTGAATAACAGGTATATAATCAACCCAGGAATTGATACTGTGGATGGACAAAATCCATTTCGCATCACCTAAGAAACCCGGGTTTATGATTCGATTCCCCCTGTAAATACCAACGAACAATTGTCTCAACCATGGTTTCGTAGCTGGTGCGAAATGGATTTCGCAACCATCCACAGTATCACAGGCCTCGGAAATCAAGTAATATATATATATATGCCATCTTCACCACTTCACCCTTCCGTTTCCCCAGACCTTTCGCAGGTGAATATGTGCACTTCGGTGTGTGTTTTGTCGAAAGTAACCCCTTGAATTGCTAAAACGGAAGCCCAAACCCAAAAGGTCCCTTGTCATATGTTTGCATTGGTTCCTCGGAATCTGTATTTACGAATCCCCCTGTTCCACCAAGCATATGGGACCCCTGCCAGGGACTTTTGGGGAATCCCAGCATTTTCTGGACGAAGGTCCACTGAAAGAGACGAAAACCCACGTGTTTGTTATGCAGCGAGCTTGTTAGATAGAATCACAGGCTATGGCGGCTTTGGCCTGCCGACTGCTTCCAATCCGTTTTGATCACACGGGCTCTCGAGAGCACGCAAGTGCCTGCCGAACGGGTCGTTGTTTCAATGAGCCTTAGGTCGGGAGTTGGCAGAAGGTCAGCCTCGACAGTTCGGTTGAGATGGCAGCTTTCACTGGGTGTTCCACCCAAACTGCCCTTCCACGTTTCATGAAGCTGCTCAATTTGCCCAGTTTTCCGAGAGGATGGTCGTCCAGAAGGGGTCTGTGCATTTCCATGTTCGCAGGGGAAGCCTTTTTGGGGGGCAAGACATGATTACGGAATCACACCCCAACCCCAGCACCGACACGTTCGGGCTTTGGCTTCGAAGCAACTGATGATTCCCTGGAAGTGAACTATCACTTCTGGGGGTGGTTCCCCTTCAAACCACCAATTTAGAGCTCATGCCGCGGATGTTTTTCTTTTTCTTGTTTTTTTTGATGGACTCGGAACTGTTCAGCAAGCTATGATCCTATACCAACAAACCACGAAGCGCTCAACGCTTTGAGACGGTCCCTCAGAAAGGCCACTGTCCACTTTTCCCCAAACAGAAAGATCCACGATTCAACCCCAGCCCTGAATAGTTCGCAACCCTGAATGTATGTTTGAAAATATAAATAAAAAGTGGAGCCCTGAACAAAATAGTCCACACAATTGGTACTATTCAGGGTTTTGAAGGTTGCTTGCAAAATGGTTTCAATCTTCACCCCCAGCCCCCCGTTTTTGAACCAACAGGAGGTTTAAACCATGTTTCAACCATGTTTTGCACGGGCCCAAAAGGGGCCCTTTCCTGGCATGTGGTTCCTTTGAGCTGAAAGCCACCGATTTGGAAAGGAGTAGCCAACAGGCCAAGCGGCTTCGTCTCAAAGGGAAACCTACGTGGCAAGCGGCTTCCTGCGAGTTTCCTTGTCTTTGAGGGAGCCTGTTGGTTGTGTTTTTGATATTGACCCCTGATCAAGACACTCCCCCCAGCTTTTTTTACTAGGGCGTCCCCCTGGAAGAAAGGAAACCCACTTGAAAGGGACCCCCGTGAAGAACAACCGTTCTTTTTCATCAGGGGTCGAGATTCGGGAACCAACCAAAAGGAGGTACCCTCAACAAAACTTGGTGGCTCCCAGCCATCCGGTTCCTTAGCCTTTTAGATCTACTTAAGTTGGCTGAACACCCAACGCCCTTTCTTCGACCCAACAAGTCGCCGTTTTAATATTGGGGGACTGTTTGGCATTAGGAAGAAGAGATTGCCCTCAATAAAAGACATGATTTCGACCCCTGACTCCGTTCCAAAGTCAGGACGGCTTCGTCGCTGAGCCGCCGGCTGCTTGCCGCAGAGGGGAGGATGGTGGTTCTTCTTCCTGGCCACCTGGGACCCGCTGAGTTGCTGGATTTGGGTGTGCCAGAGATTCTTTTGTAAAGAACACCTGGTGGATGTCCCTTGGGTTTCTTGCTAAAACCCACCCCAAAAAAAAAGTTTGGTGCCCCATTTGTGTGTCTCTCGAGCTCGCAAGAATTTCGGCAGTGCTCTCTACTGGTAACCTGAGTTGTCGGTTACATGCTTAAAAGTGTTCCTGGACCCTCAAACTACCATCAAAAAGGGAAACCACCCCAGAAATGTTCAGGGCAGAAATGTCTGTCTTAAGGTTTGAGGGTCTCCCAGTAGTGCCCTTTCTGAATTTCTCACCCCGTTTTCTTTTTGGGAGGGCTCCACTACTAAAATAAACTACCGATCTACTGGATGACCTAGAGGGCTTGATGTTCCACACCTGTGCAGCAGTGATTGGGGTGGGAAGAAACCAATTCGTTCGGTAGCTGACCTGCAAACAGGGGTGTAAATTTGTTTTTTGTGACACCTGATTTCAGCCCCTCCATTCACCAGACTCCAAACCACGAATTAGAGGGAAGCGGATGATTTGTGTACCATGGTTGGGCTGAGACCAGGCAAGCTACTCAAGAGGGATCCACTTCCGGTGATGTTTTTATTTTCCGACAGCGGGGCCCTTGTTGCCATAGGTGTCCTTTTTGGTTGATTTGGCTGAAAAATACAGGGGGTCTGCTTTGCCTGGTGGTTCAATCAACTCCAAGGCCATCTACTTCCCAAAAAGGACACCTATGCTTGTTGCCCTCAGGCTCCCTTCCTCTACCTGGTCCTTTGGAGCCCGGTTTGGTTACTCACTTCCTGAGTTGATGGACTTTAAACTTAAAATGGGCTGGACCATTTTAGTGGCAAATAAAAAGTTCAGACTTTTTTTGGGCCAGTCAACTTGGGAAGTGAGGCGATTTGCCCTTTTGGCTTCTACGTGATTCCCTTGGTTCCCTAAAAAGGTAAATGGATCCACTGGGAGTCACAAACTGGAGATGATAATGATAAGTAACGCTAGAAGTTGTCGCAACATGGGTCCGTGAGCTGATTGTTTTTTTTTTTTTTTTGACAGGACGTTGACCCTTTGACCCCCCCCCCCTTGAGTGCATCCTTAGGTACATGGGCCGTTTCGGTGCGTTAAATGGTGACGTCTTCTTGCATGATTTAGACGGATCCGTCCAGCCAAACGCTCAAGGGATCTTGGTTTCGGAGATGCTCAAATGTGAGGATGGGGCTCAGTGCTTTCAGTTGCCACCGCAGGTAACCCTTCGGGATCCTTACTTCTAGGTTTTACATCATGGTTTTTCTGGTTTCCTGATGTTGTGCCTGGAAGCACTGGCACCCCCGGGAGTGCGACAGGTTTTTTTTTTGCGCTCCGAACGAAGCAAGAGCCCACCTTATGGCTTGGATGGCTCGCGGAGATAAAAACCGCTGGAGGGCAAATGGTCATTTTGGGGGACCAAATAAGGGCTGAATCAAGGGAACCTGTCTTTTTTGGACCCATGTCAGTTTTTTGGAGAAGCTGAATGCAGGGATGTGCGAATCCCATCTAAAAATTCCATCGGACCGAGAGTGCCTCACATGTTTCACGTGCCTCCATTGCCCTGCAGAGTATCTCAAGCTGAACAGAGAGAGTCTCAAAATCCTTTTGGAGGGTTCGTCTTCAACCACCATTTGGGGCTGTACCCCGCTGGCGCGTTTAAAGAACAGTTTCGGGGCGGGGTCCCCCAAAACAAGACGCTCCTTTGCCTGGAGTCTCTTCATGACCCGAAATAAAAATGGGCCAATGACCAACCAGAAGTCTGGGGAATGAAACCATTTAAGGGTCAGAAGGATCCAGGTAGAGGTAAGCCTTCTGCAAGGGATTCGTTTGCGCCTAGGGCCAAGGAGTGTTTCATTTTTTCTCTTGCCCGTCGAGATTCGGCCGTTGTGCCAGGTGATCACTTTGCAATTCCAGGTCCCTCCCCGAATCCCTCTTGTAATCTAGGTCTCCCAATAGTGCCCTTTCTCACCAATTTTTTTTGGGGGAGGGTTCCCCTACTAGACCAGACTACAGAAAAAGGGTACATTATTCTAACCTGCTGGAGGACCTAGAAAACCAATCAGGCACCCTTGAACTGGTGCCTTGGATTGGTTGTTTTGCGCTTGGGGTGGGAAACCCCATTTACCCTCCACAAGAAGCAGGGGTTCAATCCCCAAACCACCAATCCAAACCACACACACACACATGCAGCACTGAACATGCCCTATTGGTGTTTGGTGGTTAAATTGTCGGGTATTGATGTTGGCATAGGTGTCCTGTTTTGTTTTTTTGCTAGAAACAATATATGGCCCTGGTTCACCTGGTGGTTTAATCATCTACCAGGGCCATCTATTTGCCCTAAAAGGACAGCTATGAATGTTGGACTTGTTGCTTGGGCCAAGGATGAGTACAAGGAGACACTCATCTTCAGGCGCGCGGCAACCATCTCACTTGCCTCCTGCTGAAGAAGTTGGCAGTTGCTTCTGAAACTTCCTGGTGCGATAAGTAGGGAATGTTGGGAATGAACCGGAAGGGGATTCCTTAAAGGAAACCAGCAGGAATGGTTCAAGGTGGTCATTCCATCTCATTTCATTCCATCTCATTCCCTCCCTATCGAACCAGCAAGTAAAGCCACTCTCGAGTCTCGAAGTATCCCCACCAAGTAATTTTTGGAAGGAGAGCGCATTCCACAAACGGCCCTACCTTGTCCATGTGCCCTTTAGGGAACGAATGTGTGGAAGAGGGGGCCCTACCTTTTTCGAAGTGGGCCAACTGGCTGATTACTTTTGGTTGCCCACTACATCAGAGAAGGGGTCCAATAATTGTGGCTGTGGCTTAAAGCAAATGCCCAACATTGTTCCTTGGTATAATATATGCAAGCAAACAATATTACAACCTGTGGAACCCCAACAACATTTACATTTGAGCCTACCACGGTGTATGTAGAGGAGGCGTGTGCAAAAGATAAAGTGCGACTTCCGCATTTCAGATGTCTTTGTTGTGTTTTGCCTTATCATGAACGAGCCAAAACACGGGCCTGCGTGTTTGGCCTATCTGAGAGGTTCACTATGGCCGACTGGTCAAACACCAGGCTATTGAACTCTTGAGTTGCTTTTTCCTGGAAGGTTGCACAGCCAGGTGCCCTTTCTCATCCCGTGAGAGCCAAACAGTACTGTGTCATGGTGTTTCCTTTTTGACCCTCAAGTTTTTACATGGCGGCTCGTTTTTTTCGCTTTTGCTGGGGTTGGTTTAAAGGGAAATCAAAAAGGACTCATGGGGGGGTGCTCTATTTTTGACAGAAACCCAGATCCTTAGATAAGGGACCCTTGGAAGTGAATCCATGGCTGGTCTGTGCGCCGAACAGAGGACCTCTTGGGTGTATTGGGTGTACAACTGGGTGTGTCTGGTTTAAGGTTGGATTACCCCAAAGTGGCTTCGGTTGTCGACTTGGTTCCCTTTAAAACAACTAAAGAATCAGGATTCGGCTACATTTAGGGCATGTCTGGAGGTGAAGGTCGGGCTCAGGCAGTGTTAGGACCCACTTTGTGTGCTTTTTCATTGAAGCAAAGGGTCGATGAATCGCCATAACCCATCCGAAACTCATAGGATCCAACCCTGAGGCCCCTGATGGCCGTGGTAAGTCGTGGCTTCATGCCCAAGCACCCCTATGGGGGTTCCCGAATATAGCCAAGGATACAACTTACAACCTACAGGGTCTCCGCCAAATCGAGTTTATACTTGAGGGGGTAGACTGAAAATGAGAGCCACGGAGTACCCCAGACGCGGGAGAAGTTAGAACCATGGTTGGTGGAAACCCGGGCTTGGTTGTTTGAGCCAATCTTCCCGCAACCCCGCACCCCCCCGCAACCCCCCGCAACACTTTCCAGGGTGATAACTTGTCGGCTATGGCCTACTAATGTTGACCCCAGATTGTTCACCGGTTCTATTGATGTATCGAGGTGTGTTCCCCTCCAAAGGTGATTTGCGTCCCACTAAATGGGGACATCCCCCCAATGAAAGTCAGCCATGTTTTGCTTAATCCGGGTTCCACATTAAGTAGCTTCGCACAACTCCCCAACAATCCGAAAACAGCGCATTCACTAGCTTCAACACCTTCACCCAAATCCGGGAAAAAACCGAGAACAACCAAAGAAGAACAAAACCAACAAAGATAAACAGAAGCTGATAAGTAGCTTCACCAAATTCGGGGGGGGGGGGGAAGAAAAAAAAAGAAAGCAAAAAGAACAAACAACATAAAACAGCTATAATAAAAACAAAACAACTGGCGCCAACAGCGACTACAAAGCGGAAACAACAACAAAGAAAGGAATCAAAAAAAAAAAAAAAACAAGCCGCGAAGCCGCGGGATCTGCCAGGCCTGAGCCGGAGCCCTGGTACGCCACCTTGACCTTGTGCGGCGCCGTGTCGGGCTACCGCCGCCTCGAGGCCGCCGCCCACGGCCGCACCCCGCAGGCGGGCGCCGGGAGACGCGCGGGTGACGCGCGCGGGGTACGGCGGAGGGGGCGGGGGGTGGTCGCCCGCGGGGAAACGGTTGGCCAAAAGAACGAGACTTCCATTTGCTGAAATGTGTTTTTGTCTCTTTTTGTTTGTTTAGTTTTCAAGGAACTTATCACTACATAGTTGTTCTTCTCTTCTTTTGCCTTGGTGGTTTAAAAAGAACTCTTATCACTACCGGAAATAAGTTTTTCTTTTTTTCAGGGGTCTTAACCAAATGGAAGAAGAAGCACCTTCCCAACCATTGGGTGTTTTGGTCAAACCACACAAAACACAAGCAATCATCTTTGTCTTTATGGAAACCAGTACCTGGAGTCTCCCTCTGACCCAAAATAAGAATGGGTCAATGACCAACCATCATTTTGGAAAATGACCAACCCTTTTTTAAGGGTCATGGAGACTCCAGGTCCTTCCCAGCCATTGGGTGTTTGTCAAAATCATATAAAACACAAGCAGTCATGTTTGTCTTGGAAAACAGGACCTGGAGTTTTTGTCTGACCCTTGGAACCACGGTTTCTCTACTGGTTTCCTCCAAATAAGACTTAAAAGGCCTTATTGAGGTGTTATTTGGAGAGTGGGGGGGGACCACTACCGAACCACTACCGCTCCATCGTTGATTCGGTAGTCGTACTCGGTAGAACCATGGTTACAATAGGGAACTAAGCCTTAGCCCGCTTCTACCATCATGCATCCTACCTGGAGTCTCCTTCTGACCCTTGAACGCTTGGGTCATTACCCAAAACCAATGGGTCATGATTTCATTTTCAAGGGTCATGGAGACTCCAGGTACTTGGATCTTCACTTTGCCAAGTTAGTGTTTATCATGGGGGCTGGGGGGGAGGGAGGGGGGGGGAGGGAGCCCCAATAAGCCCCGAATGAGGCCTTATTAGGGGCTTCATAAGGGCTTATTTGGGCTCCCTTCCACTCCCCTCCCTCCCCCCAGCCCCCATGAGTTTATGGTGCTCGCCACTTCGGGTATAACTTCCTGGTTAACCTGAAACGGGGGACCTGTAAGTGGGTTGTAATCTAAAAAACCGAAGCAGAATCCCTTGGCCGAACACCCAAGTAGCGTCCTCCGTAGCCATCGGTGGTTTCCTTAGAACGACCGCCCCTAGTGATTCTTCTGGGTTTGGGGTGAGAATGCTTTGGTTTTTTTTTCTCGAAACATCAGGGTTGTATGCCAGCCGTAGTGATCGTCGTGGGGGTGTATGGGGGTGTAAAAGTACCTTTCTAGGACCGCACTTGTGTAAGGGGCAAGGGGTATCTCAGCTTCCATGCCTTGCAAGTCTGGACACTTGGGAGAGAGACGGGATGGGGCTTCCATTTCAATCAGACCCTAAAATGGGGCTTCACCTTCCGGGAAAACCCCCGAAAAGAAGTTTCGTGGACTTGGGGGTGTCTGACTTAGGGCGATCCCCCAAATTGTGGGCGTCCTTGTGGTGTCCCTTTAACTTCAAAACCCAGCCAAACACTGGTTCTCGCAAAACCAAAAAAAAAGCGAACAAAAACAACAACACACCAATTTAGATAGGGCCTGTCGCTGGGGACGAAGTGCATGCTGGCATTGCGACCTATGCGATGCAACCATCCGATCACGCCGAGCTCAGTGTGTCACACAAACTGGCACGTTGACGAGGTTTCATCAATCTCCAACAAACTCCCCTGGCGCTTGCCGCAGCTTGTTCTTGAGCATTGGGAATCACCGCGTTCCAAGACACACACACACACATATGCATACATGCACACTCACACATTTGGGCAACACCGGCAAATCTAATTGAAACACTGGGGAAACCACAACTGATGAGCTTATGTTGAGGTGGATCATATGACTCCTCTGTCGCCCAGCGGTGCCAATGAGTTTTCGTTTTTGTTTGGGGTAAGGGTTCCCCTTTGAACTCGAACCAACACAAAAAACAATCGGATGCCTTTTTTTCCCATGGAACTCCACTGGGCATCTGAGACTCGTGTTTGAAGAGTTCCCTTGGCAATGCCATCCAGAGATTGCCTCAAGAGAGCCCAAGACGCCGGCAGTCTCACCCCCGCCCCCTTAAAAACGGAATGGGAGGGTGACCATTGGAGATCTCCATACGGCTCCAGTTTCCCAATCAGCAAGACTAATGTTAACCCCGGATGAAGCAGAAGCCCGATTGGTTGATTTTGTCCCAATTTAGTGGTTGGATTCAGACCGCTTTTGGAGGGGTTTCCACCCCCCCAATGATGGGACGGGTTCTACTTAGATCCTGGGTCAACATTAGATAAGTGGTTAGGGGGGATACTTATGCACTTGGATGCATCGTGGCCCTTTCTGGCCGACATCGGTCTTAAACAAAATGGACAGATTACAAGAATTGGGCGATCCACACATATGAAACCACAGGGGCATTCTTGACTAGTTCCACGGATTACTCACAAGTGTGGATCCATTTGGGAGGCTGCACATAATGGGAAACCAACAGGAACTTTAAGCACTTGCAGGAATCGGTCCCCTAATCTTGAGACACATCCAAGCGTTACTCTGTCTTAAGAGTTTCTGGTTTAGTAAGAGTTTCTGGTTTAGTGGACTGCGCTTACCCCCTTTTCATTGGTTGGTTTCTCACCCAAAAGATGAGAATCCACCGGCCAAAAAGGGTGCCAATTCGTTTGTGCGGGGGTCACTTGCTGCAACTCGCTTGTGAGCCTCTACGACCGGGGGGGGGGGTGTCGAGTGGCTGCTAGTGTTTCGGAGTCCTTTCAAGGGAAACCACCGCGATCTCTGTCAAGATTCAGTGGACGTTTTTGAGGTGCACTAAACTGGGGTCATTATATATTGTCTGCTTTCAGCTGGTTATGGACAAGAATCAAAATCATGGAGGGCTTCTCAACTGGTGGAGCCCTTTTGATAGTTGAAGGGACACCAAAAGGAAAGCAAGTGTTTTCCAGTGCTTCCAGTTACCACTAGAGTAGGTAACCAGGTTTTTTGGCTTCAAGGTTTCACATGATTGTTTCCCTTGGTTATCTACTATAGTGCCTTGCCTGGAAGCACTGGGTATTAGAGGACCACTATTTTGAGAAACACCCACACAATACTTGGTCTTTGTTGTTTTTTTGCGTGGCTTCTCCACTCGCGGCTTGTCTTTTCGTCGAATCCCCCTCCTACCAAAGTGGCGATGGTTTCAATGCAACTCACCAGAAATCCGATTGCAACTTTTGATTTGGGGAGATCGGTTGACCCCTGCCACTTGTTCAATTTCAAAACTCTAGGGGTACCTTCCATTCTTTCCAGTGATCCTTCTTTCTGAGAACCGACTGGTTTTTGAAAAGAACGATGATTGAAAAGAATGGGGCATCAACCCCTAGAAAACGGGGCCCCGGGGTTAACACAACTGGAAGACCCAACCTTGGAACTCGAGGCAGCACGGGAGGCGGCGGCGCATGGCTTACTGCAGCAGCTGCCCAGCAATGACAGGCCAAACGTCGACGCCGGCGCAAGCGTTTGGTGTCTCCGTTTCCTTGAGCGACCGGTTCATGGCTGTTGTTGGGAAGCACTTTACTTTTCTTGCTTATTGTGGTTTAGTGGGAAATCCCCACTTAACTTTTGGACACTCAGTGTTTAAACAGCCTCCAGTTGGTTTCCCTTGGCGGCAGTATTTGGCTTGCATGGAAACCAACTTTGCCCAACCTTGTTTCGAAACCAGCCTGCTTTGCCCAGTGGGTCCAAGTACCTTATATTTGCGGATTTAATGAATCTGTAAAAGACGAATCCCCTTGAACCAAACCCAATATCTCAAATATGGGGTACTTGGACCCTCTCTCTTGGAAGGAAATTCAGGGCCATATGTACATCAAACTCACGAGCAAATCAGCCAGCCAGTCAATATCAGCTTTCCTGTGTCATGAAGGCGCTCCGATCTATAGATATGTTTATGAGAACGATTTTGACTTATCAATCCTGATGGCAGTCGGGAGCACACTGATTGCTGACAGTAGTTCGCATGGTTCCTGTTCCCGCTTCATCAACTCTGTGGGACACGCCCTTTGTGTTTGTGACTATGTGCACCTGGCTGACGAGTGTGTGCGTGTGTGTCTGTGTCTGTGTCTGTGTCTGTGTCTGTGTCTGTGTCTGTGTGTGCGGACCCTCTGACAACTGTATGGTCATTTGCTCAGATCCTGATCAGGATACCTCCACCTGCGCCCCCGGTGCCGCCCGCCTGGCCGCCCCCGAATTGGCAGCCCCCGCAGCAGCGCGCGCCCCCACCGCAACAGCGCGCGCCCGCGGCAAACAGGCCCGCGAAGAGAGGGTGGAGCTACTTGTTCATTGTGTTTTTGGTATATGCATAGGTGTGTCTTTGAGGGGACCCACAAAATGGTGGTTTTCCTTTTGGCTTTCCTTCTAAACAGGGTCCCTGAAAAAGACACCCAGTTTTGGCACCAACTTTGTGGTTGCTTGAACAGACAGGGGGAAACCAAGAATTTGTGGGTTCCCCCATTGCAAGGCAATCCCATACACAGGCGTACGTACATGTTACACACATCGGGTTGCATATGCGAATATGTGTATATAAATATATATATATATATATCGAGTTTGGCTGTGCAAACCCAGAAAGAGGCAGCAACCTGATCTTTCAAAGGCCGCCAAACCGCTTTTTCAGGTCCCCTTTGAAGTGCCCTTTTCTTCTTGGGGGGTACGAAATTCCAACCTAGCGGAAGAATTGGTGCAGGCGGCAAACACGGCCGAGACCAAATGGACATTGTCAGTCCCAGGTCGTTTCCGAGACCTGCGGTAAAATGGTGCCTTTAGTCAACTTTTTCCGAGGGGTCTCTAACCAAGAGGGTCCTCTTGGTACCATATATTATATTTCAGGTTGTTGGGTGTGGTTTAAGGAGATTCGTCAAAGACTGATTTAGACAAGGGACTCTTTGGGTAAATCAAGTACAAAACACTTATGTCCCATGGCCACTGAATCTAAGAAACACACTTGGGCCTAGACCCGGCACGTAATTAAGGGTCACAACTAAGTGTGGCCGCTGCCAGAGCCCTGCAACATGACTGCCAGACACAAGTTGAGTACTTGTGTGGTAAGCCGAGGAGAACATCGTGGCAGGAAGAGGAACGACAGTTGCAAAAGCCCAAGCTTGGTTTTCACTGTTCTTGGCGAATATGTTTTAGAACTGTTTAGTTGTTTTGCTTTTTGGTTTTGTTCATTTTTAGCAGGGGGCTGCAAAACCAGCTTTTTTGCTGCCAAGGAATGTGAAGTGGGGGATGCTACCTGTTCTCAGTCCTGTGTCCCGTGTTTGTGGCACTTCTGCCATGCAAGATGGCCAACAGAGCACAAGGCCCTGTTTGCCAACTAATGGCTGTGGCTCAAAATTAAACGATCGGAGGGGCAAACCGCAGGTGTTGGTCCATGTTTCCACTTGCCAGGGCCACCCATTTTGGAATTTTCCGGTTTTTTGAATTCGCCACAGCCGAATGGGTTTTCCATGAAACCGATGGGGAGCAGATTTCGCCACCGATGGGCGTCTCCCTGGGAACCCGGTGAGTTGTAGGAGCTGTGAGGTGCCAAGTTACTTCTCTGGGCGCTCCCAGCCATCCGGTCCCGTGGCTTTTTTAGATCTTTCTAGGGTTTGGTGGGTGGATTTCCGTATTTAGCCCACTAAAAGTTAAGCTTTTAGCGGGGGATCTGAGGACAGCTCAGAGTTGTTTTTTTGGGGGGTGGGGCAACTAAGACTGAGTGGTAGAGGGTGAATTCAGGGGTGCCATGGGTGTGGAAACTTAGGTTTAGGCTTCCCCTCCCAGCTCTGAATGCGATCCAGGAAGCCATTGGGTCGCAGCCCAAGGAATGATCGAACTCCTGTAGATGGATTTTGGGTATGTTTGTTTTTGGTTTTCCTGTTGGTTTCCCTTTCAGACTAGCCACTAAAGGGGTACTCTCAGAGAAAGACACACCCACTTCTTGAAAGTCAAAAGGGGCCTCCAGCAACTCGAATGAATGAATGGGGCGCCGCTGAACCACGACAAAAAGGAGATTCTGCTTATAATGAGTAACCCTCACCAATGAGGCGCCCAACTTGGGGGAGCGTGGGGAAAGCCATGGTGTGGAGGCAGGTTTAAAGATACACGTAACATTTATTGGGCCGGCCTTGCAGAAAGGAGAACCCAAGGCTATACCAATTGCCGCCATATCGTCAAAATGGTATAGGCCCCCTTCCATGTCCTTCGAAAGCAGCCCCACCGACGGCCTCACTTAGGGAATCCATTTGCAGCGTCTTCGATTTGCAGAACTTCACTGTTCTTGGATCAAGGTGTATTGTTGTTTTGTTTGGCTCTGTTCATTTTTAGTAGGGGGCTGCAAAAAAGCAAGTGTTTTTGTACCATACCAAGGGTTGTGAAAAAAGACCAAGTTTTATTCTTCCCTGATAGCTTCAACAAAAGTCGTGTCTGGTAAGTGCGTACCACGTGCAATTGGAAGCTGTTGCCGAGGGTTTAGATCCCTTTTACTGCAACCCCTGCCCCCTTGAACAACAACAGCCACATACTTCCGCCAAAGCAACACAAGCAAAAGCCACACATGATCAACCTTCTGATTTAATGCCGTGTATTCTATTCCCCCTTCAAAACAACACGAGCAACAGCACATTGCCAACTTAGCCGACCTCTGTTCACTTTTCGCCTTCGTGGGTGTCCTTCATTATTTCAACCAGCAAACAGTTTACACTTCTGCAAGTTCTGTAAGTCTGGTCAAGAAAACGCAAACAAGTTCAAAGGGAACTTAGGTTCGTTTATTTTCGAGGCTGACCTTTATCCGGGTCAGTTTTAAAGGGAAGCCAAAAGGAGCATTATCCTTTTTATGGGGTCCCCTCAAAAAAGATAGCCAAGTTCCATTCGCCCTGCGACCCAATGGCTTCCTGAGTCACCCACTTGAACCGTTTTGGGTGCGCTTGGCGTTCCTTTTGTTTCTCCCCGCAGGACAATACCTCCTCGCTTCCGCTTCCAGAAGTGCGGGGCTCGGTCACTGGACCTCTGGGAAATACGGGTTCCTCTTAAAAACACCAAACTTTTCTCAACTTGTTGGGTAACATGGGCTATATGTCTGTAAAAGATGAAAACTTCCCCAGGGCTCAGGGAGTTTTAAGGGGTAAGTATGGGTTTCCCACCCCAAAACACATCCCTTCCAGAATCTGCAACAAGGGCTGTGGCTTTTGCCGGTTGTTCATGCTCTTGGCTTCCTTGTTACCAGCCCACTTTATAGGGAGGGGTGTGACTATCAGCAAGCCTTTTGGGGTCATGTACATTCCATTTGCTGAAAGTTGAAAGTAATATGTTGTATTTCTCTATTTTCTTCAGGGGACTGACAAGGATAATGGAAGTTGTGTTTTGGGTTTGGTCGACTTGACTTTTGGTTTCGTCGGATTCGGATTCCCTTTGCCGACGCCGCTGGTGCATATATATATATATATTTCGGAGTTACTTGTTTTGCTTTGGTTTTAAATGGATGCCGGAAAGGAAGACCATGTTCGGGGGCCTTAAAGACACACCCAGTGGCTTGTTGTAACTTGGCGGTTCTCAGCCTTCCGGTTTAGCTTAGGCTTTTAGTTGGTTTAGCGGAAATGTTTCCATCTAACCCGCCTAAAAGATCAGCTTTTGGCAGGGGATCAGAGGACTGCCAGGTTTTGTTTTCGGTGTTGGGGGCAGGGACTTTGTGTGTGTTGCTTCTGATTGCTTAAAATCCTAAGTGAATCCTCGGCATTTGTGGGCTATGGTCATGACTCAATTGTTGCTACAACTGGCTGGTTCTCATCAAGGGGATTTTTGGGTTCATTCCCAAGACCTGGAAGGTCATTCCCTGAGCACCAGCAAGATAAGGGGTTGTGGGAGACTTTACGCCAAGTTTGTTATTGCTACTGTGGATGGACGAAATCCTGCACCACTTTGAAACCATGGGAAGCCATGGGCTGTTGTTATTTACAGGGGAATGATCATTCCAGGGTTTCTTAGGTGGTGCAGGATTTTGTCCATCCACAGTATGACTAGCTAGCCACGACACCTGTTACAATGTCAAACCCAGCGCTTGCTGGACTATAGCTAGTCATGGAACTGTTCCATGTCTGGTGTTTGGTGCAAAATATAAGCCCCGTCAGGACATTTTGGAAACTACCGGCTTTCCCTTGCCTACAAAAGGTCGATCACGACCTCGTGCGGCGGGAGCAACCCAGTGTTGAGGCTGGAGGCTACCCTTTTTGGGGTTGTCTTAGGGAAACTGGCGATCCACCGGGTAAGGGATTACTATCAGTACTGCTATCATCTGCTATCACTAGGCTTCCCTTTTTTGAGGGTGATCGGGTAAGGGATTACTGCTAGTACTGCTATCGCTAAACTATCCCAGTGCTCCAGTTACCTCTACATTCACCTGAACACCTACTATAGGCTAATAGGGGGAACTGGAAGCACTGGGGTAGTTCTATTATCCTGACAACTATTACCGTGTCGAACCAAACAATTTCACTGCCTAAAACACTCCATGTATGGCAAATTTGCGGGTCAACATTTACCCTGATAGGTTTAAGGTCGGTATTTGTTTTTCAATTTCCCTTTAAAACCGGTACCTTCTTCAAACAAAAAAACACACATGGAGCTCCGTTGAACCCCCTTTTGGTTTGAGGGGGTCAAGACGAGCGCCCCACGAGCCGCTTCCAATTCGAGGCAGCGGTGGAACACCTGGCGCGGAGGTGCCCTGCGTGTGCAAGGCGAATTCTGTTCGACCGACCGTCCGACCGCTCGCCACCAGGAAATGAGTGATCATGGTTCTTGCTGGCGGGTTGGACCTTTCGACTTTAACTTTTTTTTTTGTTCTTTCTCGGAAATCAACGGGTTTTCCGCTAAACTTTTTGCTGAGGGGTCAACAGCTACCAGGCCGGGCGGATTTTGCCAATTCTTTTGTGAACTTTGTTTGGGGAAGGGTTCCGATTCCTTTAAAGTCAACAGAAGAAAGGACGCCGATTCTTTTTGTGCCAATGGCCACCGGGCATCTGAGATGTGATGAATCCACTCTTTGCCGGCAAGAAAATTAGGGAATCATTTCAGGGGAAACCAGAACGATTGCGGTATTTGCGGTGGGGAATCATTTCAGGGAAACTTGGGTGCAGGAATTGGTCCATTCAGAATAGGTGCGAGAACATGGGTTCAGGCTTCCCTTTGCCCTGAGCAGGGGACCGTTCGGGACCGTTAGGGTTCCCTTTAAGCCAGTTTTACCAGGCATCTGGTGAATTGCGACCATAGATGGACCCTTTTTAATGGACCTCTTTTGAAGGCGGGCCCCACAACCATGGCCCAAGAAGGGGTCACCCCATGGCCCAAACAGGGCCCATCTCTTTGCATCGCGACTGAACGTGTCAAGTGGAAGGAACAGTGGGTCGTGACCACTTGATTCTTTCTGCGTATCTGAACTGTTCAACGGTAATCCTTAGCTTCCCTATACGGATGATGGAGAATCGGATTGGCCAACTCTCCATTTTGAACATCCCAGGTGAGCCACTTGCTCAATTCCGGGTAGATGAAGGTTAGTAAGGGACGGTCCCAGCCAGAAAAAATGCTGCGGATATCCGCCTTCTGGGTCAACCATTTGTGTTCAAAACTGTACATGGTTCTTCTTTTCATGGTACGGGTTCGAGGCTTTGATTTCGACCCAGGCAAAGACCAACCGGTTTAGATTGGCAGAGGGAGACTTTCGGTCGCTGGACTCGGCAAGACGTCAAGTTTTCCAGGCGGCGAATCCTCGGAGAAGGCTGGGCCGGCTGGAAGCAAAAAACAAACGACACCCCTTCCCCAGAATTAGCTGCCTTTTTCTTGTTTTTTGCTTTTTTGGGGTCCCTTTTGTTTTCCACTAACCAGGCAAAAATATATATTTTTTGCAGTGGTCCTCATTCCAGCCAAGTAACAAACAAACGGCTCGGCGACAGTCCAAAGCGTCCAAAATCATGGCCAGACTGAGCTTCCAGCTCAGTCAACTTCTGCATTTTGTGTGTCCCTGGTGCTTCCAGCTACATACCGAAGGGTTATTATGGCTTGCCTGGAAGCACTGGGGTCTGTACTTCATTTTCCCTTTCAACCGGCAAAGACCTAACTTTTTGCAGGTCCAAAGTCCGGCCGCAAGCCTAGCTCTCCCAGAAGTGCCCTTTTACCCCTTTTTGGGGGAGGGCTCCGCTACTAAAATAGACTACAGAAAAAAGGGTACCCTTATTCTAAAGTCTCTACTGGAGGACCTAGAAGCGGTTCTTTTGGATTCCTCTAGTATGGAAGTATGCCAACGTCGAGACAGGGCAAACAGGACCCAGTCCAGAAAAAGATCCTGAAAGACTGACATTTTCTCCATTCCTTCCATTTGCGTTTTGGAATGTGTGTTTATGTGTCTTAAACAAAAAAAGGGAACCTATCACTACTGGACATGATTGTCCAAGGTCTTAAGCAAATGGACGTTTTTGTTCCGTTGAAACACCCCATGTTCGAGGTACTTGGGTGTAGCTACGTCATGTTAGGGTTCCCACTCACCTGCGAGTGAGCTCGAGGCCCCCAGAAAGGTCGACAGTTTGTCCAACTTTGAACCCACACATATGGCACAAGCAGCCACTAGGTCTCCCAGCAGTGCCCTTTCTCACCCCTTTTTTGGTTGGGAGGGCTCCCCTACTACAATAGACTACAGAACAAAAAGGGCACCCTTATTCTAACCTCTCTACTGGTGGACCTAGACTATAGGAGGCAACCGGGAAAAGCAATTATGTAACACCTAGGGGTGATGAATTCCTGGGTACTTACTATAGTGGCTTGCCTGGGAGCACCGGCAATGGTATGATATAGTCTCTAGCTGGTATCGATCCAATGGTATGGCAAGGACATGGCTGGGTATGACCAGCATAATTCTGCCTATTTTCATAGCGAGCTTTATTTGGGGGGTATCACGAGCTCATGATCAAGATTCTGTACCATTCTTAATCCAGCTTTTGGAATTAGAGTGAAATTTTGCAAATATTGCATTTGATTCAACTTTGGACTGGGGGTCACTTGCAGCCCATTAGGGAGAGAGGGGAGAGGGGAACCCGCGCCTCCGATTTGAGGGCTTCCCCAACGAGCGCCTCAGATGTTTCATGGATCCTCGAAGTTTCAAGCGGAATCTGTTGATGGATCCCCAAGAACCAGACCCAAAACCGGAAAACAAATATGGGGGCCACCGGCTGGAGAAGAGCTGCTTTTTCCACTCCAACCGGCAACGCATGTTGCTTTTGGACCCCCACATAGGACCAGCTTAGACTCTTTCTAGAAAATTGTATTGGGCTCGGCAAATGAATTCCTAGTCATAAACTTGCCCAAAGCGGACCAGGGCCGTCTATTTGTCCAAAAGATCATCTACGATTGAGCTCAATGTTGACCCCATATGAATCAACCCCAGTGTATTAATAGGGGTTGGGGGCCTCAAAAGTGGTCTGATTCCCCACATTTCACCCAGGGACACCCCCTATTGCTAAACTGGTTGGTTGATGAATATGGGGTCAACATTACCAAAGGCAACCCAAAGAGGGAACACTTAATGAGCTCACCCTTTTTTGGGTCGTTGATCAAAAAGAAAAAACACCCCTTCCAAAAAAGAGAGCAACAGGTCATGTGAACCGATTGCCAGGGCCGAGGCTCCGCTCCCGGCGGTTCCAACGTCGGTGGCCGCACGCCGCCCCCGCCGCCCAAGCCGAAGCGCAAGCCGCGGATCGTGTCCTGAGCTCGCCGACGCGGCGCTGCGGCGGTTTTCGGCCCCCGGCCACCCGGAACCCGAATTTCTGGGCGCAGCGAGCGGTTTGAGTTTGGAGGGGGTCCCCTAAAAAAAGACAATGACTACCAAAGAAGGGCGTGAACTTTATGAAGGTCTGGGGTTTGGGGTGAAGTTTATGAAGGTTCTCCTCAAGCAAAGTAGCCCAACATGAGCTTCGGGCTCGTTCTCTTTCCCACAGGCGGGTGTATATGCGTCAAAATAGAGGGAACACCACCATGTTGAAGACTTGTTTGCTGGTTTCCCTCAAAACCAAGGGGTCCTCAAAACTCGCAAACCCAAATCCTTCACTAGAATTAGCTCCCCTTTTTGCTTTTTTTTCCCCGACTTTTTGGGGTTCCCAGTGTTTCCATTTACCAGTGGAAACCAAGGGAACCATAAGCCAAAAGGAGAATCAGCATGTTTTCCCTCAGGTGTTTCCTTGGACAAGTGTACAGACATGCCAACTTTAGCTTTGATGTGTGGTTTCCTTGTGGTTTCCCTTTAAAGCAATGACATGTTTTAATGGAATTTGTAAGAAAGACGCGGCCATGCGACATACATGGCAACATTTGCCTTTCACACATTTATGGCAGGGTGTGCCAGGGTGTGCCCCACTGGGGCGGTGTCTTATTGTGGCGGGTGCAATGCAGTTAGACCAACTTAATGCCCTCCAAGTCACGGTTTTTTTGTTGGGTCGCAACGGACCAACCGCCACCTGTCTAGTGGTCGTCTAAATTCCCAATTTCCACTATGGTCGGAGGCATCCGTAGATTTGCGCTAGATTCACTCCGTAGTGCTCTAAGGGCACCGGCGTCAGAAGGGGCCAGATGAAGGCCCCGAGTCAGGGAGTCATAGGCTGTGAGGGCGCGCAATGGAGCCAGGGCGGTCCTGCAACGAAACTTGTCTTTTGGTAGATGTTCTGGGTGTACTTGGATGTTCAATCCACTTAGCAAGTAGGTTACAACCATGGTTAGAAGTAGGGTAACAGGGGTTGGTTCCCTTTAAGCGTGTTAAAAGCTTGGTTCAGGGATATTTTATGTGATACCAAGGGTAATCCCCCTTTGAATGACCAAGTAATAGAGGGATAGCCCAGGTTGGTATCCCAGAAAGTGTTGTTTCCCACAACCATGTTGACGAGCTTTAGCCATCCAGATTGAAACGGTGAAAGAGATACCTATATAATGTTTGTTTGGGGTGTGGGGTGGTCCCTATTGGTTCTGGTTGTACTTAGATGTTCAATCCACTTAGTAAGTAGGTTGTGCCCATGGTTATAAGTAGGGTAACTGGGGTTGGTTCCCTTATGACCAGGGTTATAGCTTACAAAGTGGATTGAACATCCAAGTACTGTGCAGTTACGAAATCCGCTCGCACCTAAGCGAAACCGTGGGAATGAAACCTGTTTTTTTTTGTTAGGGTACGGTATTTACGGCGGTCTCTATTGATTCTGGTTGTATGTACATGAATATATATATATATATATTATATATACACATACTGGTTTACTCATGTTTTTTTGTTGGGTAGCTTTCAAAGGACGGCACCTTGGATCGAGAAAAGGATGCGATGCAGAGCTGAAAAGTGCGCAAGGAGGAAAAGACCGTCGCTGCGCCGCCGAGTAGTTGGTAACCATTCGGTTACAAGCCACTTGTTATTATAGCCTACTTAGTAAGTTGAACATCCAAGTGGTTTCCCAAATCCCAATCCGGCATGGATCAATGCAAGCGCAGACCTGCTGCCCAAGGTATTTGGCACCCAAAGCGAGGCTAGTCTTTGAACATCCAAGTTGGGATCAAACCTTCGACCTTTGTGGCCCACTCAGGTCAGGTTCCTGAAGCTTCCCGGCATATTTTGTATCCGAAGTTTCCTTTCAGGCCTACACATCGAACACCTGGCACTGGTCGAAGCTTGAAGCATCGATTTGCCCAATTGGACACATCCGCTGGGGTGTTCGATACGCCAAGTTCGTAAGTTGGCCTAGGATAGAACCAGCTGACAAGTCCAATCCCCTTAGTGGAATTCGTCTTGCTACTGCACGAAATCCCTTTCGCACCACCTAAGAAACCCTGGTTTTTGATGGCCCCAAGTAAATAGCAACTAAGCTTGTTTCGCATGGTTTCCAAGTGGTGCAGGATTTTCGTGTATGCACAGTATTCAGGGGGCAGAACCTAAGTGGCTAACCACGTACCAAGTTGGCGAATCGAACATCCAAGTCGCGTCGGTTTCAACCAGTGGTTTCACCAAGTAGCCCGGCCGACTTAGGACAGTTGATTTTGACCCTTTCACCTGGCACAAGTGGGAAATATATGCTAGGTCCCCCAGCTAGGTGCCCTTTCTCACCGCTTTTTTTGGGGAGGGTTCCCCTTCTAAAATAGAGTACGGAAAAAAGGGTGCCCTTATTCTAACCTCTCTACTGGAGGACCTTGTGTGGTTGGATTACCATATTTGGCTCTTCACTAGCTTCCCTTCAACCTTCCATTTTAGAATGGCTCGTAGCTTTGGGATATGCTCTCAGGGTGTGTGAAGAAGATTCAACAAAGAAGCTACGGTTTTTCAGGTCCTATGTTTATGCGTAGGAAAGTGTCTGTCTTATGTGGGTATCGTCACGCCTCTTTGGAGGCTCCTTTGAGGAGAAACCGAAGATGACGATTGATTTTGGGGCCAATTCCTGGGGAGAGACTCCAACAGGGGGCTCTTGACTCGCCATAGCCCTGGTTTCCTTCTGGGAGACTTGGGCAACCCATGCAAAGCTCCATGTTTGATTCCCCAAAGTTGTCTTTTCAAACCCTTGGGGGCGCCATGGAAAAAGGACAGAACCATGGTTGTAAGGGAAGCCCCAAAGTTCTAGGGGTACCTTCCCCATTCTTTCCAGGGATCCTTCTTTCTAGAAAACCTCAAGAAGCCCCGTGAAAACGACCGGTTCTTGAAAAGAAGGATGGTTGAAAAGAATGGACAAGGAATCAACCCCTGGAAAAGCCTTTTTGGAGGCCCCATAGAAAAAGGAAAGAACCGTGGCTTTAAAGGAACCCCCACAGTTGTTCAAAGTGTTTTGTTTTTTTTTGGTTTAAGGGAAGCCCCAAAGTTGTTCAAAGGGTTTGGGGCGGCTTCGTACCTGGAGTCTCCTTCTGCCCCTCAAAAAATGGTTGGTCATTGCCCAAAATGGTTGGTCGACCCATTTTTATTTCTGGTCAGATTTGGAGACTCCAGGTGCAAGCATTCCCAGGATTCACTTAAAACAAGTCTGCACTTGTCATGTGCCACTAAAACGGTCTTGCCAAATAGTTCGAAATCCAAGAACTCCAGGTAGAAAAAGACGACCGGACTGAAAGGGACGACACGAGGCCTCCTCCAGCAGCTCCACCACCGCTCGGGCGGAGGCGCAGTTGGCCGCTTGCCCTGGAGAGAAGTCGGCGATGCGGGGGGATTGACCCGGACGCACATGCCCATGGGTGTTTTTTCCCCTGTTGGTTTTAAACAGAATCTATGACTACTGGAAATACCAACAAGCAATGGCTTCCAATGCTTTCAAAGTGGTGCGAAGTGGATTCTGTCCATCCGCAGCATTTTTGTCCAGGGGGCGAAACAGCAAGGAAGGATATGGCCATGGGTCAAAAGCCAAATTGTGCCCCCAGTGAACATCCCAATCCAACCACTAAAATAGGTTCTAAAATGGGTGGTGCACTGGTACCATTGGTGTTGAACCGTGGCCACATAATTGACTAGGCCCCCCAGCCAGGAGCCCTGTTTTTTACCGTTTTTTTTTTGGGGGGGGGAGGGTTCCCCTACTAAAATAGACTGCAGAAAAAAGAGACGGTGCCCTTGTTCTAACCTCTCTACTGGAGGACCTAGTTGACTTGCTGAATGCCAAACATCCCTCACTGCTGAAATGATGGCCACGAACAGGGAAGTAGGGTGGCCTGCTGGAGGAATATCGGCCCGGGTTTCTGATGATTCCTTTGTAAATACCAACAAACGTTGTGGTTTCAACCACCGTTTCTCATGCAAGATGTCCATCCACAGTGGGACCCCCAAGTCACTCCCTGAGTTCATGGAGGCTCCTGGGATGTTCTTGGTTTCCCCGATAAATCCGATAAGCAAGCAGGAGATCTTCAGCCTTTTTTCTCCTCTGTAGCCACCAAAGGTTCAGCTCGCTCCCTGAGTTCATTTTGTTTTTTTAACGTTTCACATGTTTGAAGCTGGACTATTTTAGTGGAAGCCAACGAGTTTCGAAAAGTTTGGGTACGCTTTTTTTTGGTCCATCAACTCGATCGGAAGTGAGGTTACCAGACAACCAGACACCAATAGTAGGGCCCCCAAAACATGGATGCCCAGTTGCAACCAGGCGGGGACCCTTTGTCAGTTTTTTGGGGAAGGGTTTCTCCTTCAGACTCGACCAGCCAAAGAAGGATGTGCTTTTTTCCCCATGGCCGCTGGGCATTTGAGGCCGGGTTTTCATTTTGGTGTCCCTTCCAAACAATCCCTTTTAGGGGCTTCCCTCAAAAAGACAAGCCACCCATAAGGGCCCATAATGGTTCATATTTCTGGGCAAATCAAGCTGCGATTTGAGGGTAGGCGCAATTTCCTGCGCAAAGGGATGATGAGACCATGGGGACTTGTAGCATTTTGCACTCAACTGCAACTGGGTCCGCCAACAAAGACCAAGATTGCAAGCAGTCGGGACCACTTTTTCGTAAAGCAACAGTCTGCTTATGCATAACTCTTGGCTTGGATATGCGGCAAGTCACTCTTTCCGCCGCAAACTGAAGAAGCAAGCAGGCTCCTTGTCAATGTGATTCTCCACATGGCTGTGGGTCAAAACCAATGGTACCGTTTTGGGGTAGGTGCACCACCCATTTTAGTCTATTTTAGTGGGGATTGGGATGTTTATTGGGGGTACGATTTGGCTTTTGACCCATGGCCACATGTTTGAAGTCCTTGGCAACCCGGAGCCTGGCAAGATTCAAGGACAGGCCTTGTTGAGTTGGAAAAGTTTGCTTCGTTGGACTAAATGAGTTTGTGTCTTGGTATGAGGAACACCCTGTCTGCAACAGGTGTTGTCTATGAAAGTGTGCATTCGGGGCTTCCCACCCTTTCGGACATCACTCGTTGGGCCAATTTATAAGCTGATATGAGCCACAATCAGAAAAGGGTAAGTGAAGGTTAGTAAGGGACGATCCCAGCCATAAATAGCTGCAGCCGCCTTCTTAGTTCTTTGCATATGTTTGGGTCGACCATTTTTGTACCGGGTTTTGATTGTGACTCATATGCCTTTCACCGTTGGGTGATGCCCCACGGGCACACTGTGAATGTATATATATATACTCCCTTCCCCAATGTCGACCTTTTTGCTGGTTTCAATGGTATTTGCGGTGTCTTATGCCTTTTTGGTTCTTTGGGACAGACAAGAAGGTTGACATGGTTACACATCTTTTCACAGAAGAGATACGGTTTAGAGGCACTCCAGCGGGTTTTTATGGTTGCGGGAAAGCAGGTTGTCTGGCCTCTCTCTATTCCAAGTAAAGTTAAGCAATCTAAAACATCAGTGTAGCAGACATGGTCAACCAAATCCCAAAACATCCGCGTAGCAGACATGGTCAACCAAATCCTGAAACATCCTAAAACATCAGTAGCAGAAAGGATCAACCATTTTCCACATTGGGTTTACGGGGTTTCCATGGGGGTTCCCTTGGGTTTCTATGCAGTTTCCTTGGGTTGCCATGGGTTTCCATTAGGTTTCTATCGGGTTTCCTTGGGTTTTCATTGGGTTTCCTTTGGTGTTCCTGGGGTTTCCATTGGGTTTTCATTTGGTTTTCTTGGGGTTTCCATTGGATTTTCTTGGGATGTCCTTGGGTTGCCATGGGGTTTCCCTCGCGGGAACCCGTGTGAGAGGTTCGATCCCTGAGGTCGAGTCGGAAGAAGAGGGCGTGGCCTGGGACAGCAACAGCGCTGGGGCCTTGGATTTTCGTGTTCGCCGAAAATCATCCGAGACCTGTGACTTCCATTTTTGAGGAAACCCGTTTCGTTTTTTTCTCTTTGCCACGAGAATCCCAAAGCAACCAAAGCCCGCTTTGGGGAGCCAGCTAACATTTGGAGACGGCCGCCTCCTGCAGCGAACCTTCTAGGGTGGCTTTGTTCACCTTGGAGCCACAAAACGGAGCCTTTTCTTGGTGGCTCCCAGCCATCCGGTCCCTTAGCTTTTGAGTTTTTTAGCTTTTTAGGGGTGTCCATTTAGCCCACTAAAAGTTAAACGACTTTTAGCGGGGGATCTGAGGACAGCTCAGTTTTCTTGGACAGCATGAGAGGGCCGGTGTTTGACCTGCCGATGCAGGAGGACAGCGACGATGATGCGCTTGCCTCGGATTACGTTGTGAGGTGGGATGGCAGTCTTCTGGTCATATCCTAGGTCCCCCAGTACTGCCCTTTCTCTCTCTCTCTTTTTTGGTTGGGAGGGTTCCCCTACTAAAATAGACTACAGAAAAAAAAGGTACCCTTATTCTACCCTCTCTACTGGAGGACCTAGTATCAGTGCAGCACATGTCACCCAGCAGCGATATCTACTGTGCATGCCCCAAGCATTGCAAAGCGCACCAACCGCATTCAACCTTCAACGCCTGGTCAATTGCAGGATTTTGCACTTTTGATCGCGCATGTGGCTTGTCCATGATGTTTATACTTGGATGTTCGGCCAGGTTAGAACGTGTTTAGCCACTTGGCTTATAGTATTGTGATATGCACAGGTTGTCCAAGTTGGACAAATGTGGCTTGGGATTTTTTTGTTTGTGGGGTCTACCACTAGAACCTTGCAGTGTCGCTCGGTTTCTTAAGTCTGCATGTGAGACATGTGATTTTACTGGGGATTGGGATGTTCACTGGGGGCTAACCGATTTGGATTTTGACCTTTTGACCCCTGGCCACAGATTGAATGATACACCCGCTTTGGGTGGCCAAAAGCTCAATCTGCGGTTTACCACTCAACTTGGAGAGTGTGCTAGCAGCGATAGACCGCAGCAGAAAACTCCTCAGGACTCTGATTTCGAATGACACTTGGGAGCTTGGGGCAAGCGCCGCGGCTCGGAGGGGCCTTGGGTTAAAAACATGTTCAAGACAAGCCTAAAGGTGATCCACCTTCACCCCAGAAGGTTTCAAACAACGTCTAAACTTGAGTAGGCTGGACCATTTTAGTGCACAAAGCTAAAGGCTTACCTCTTAAAAACAGAAAACGTTTCTCAACTTTTTGGGTAACATGGGCTATATGTCTGTAAAAGATGAGAACTTCCCCAGGGCTTGGAGTTTTAAGGGGTAAGAAGGTGATCCACCTGTATCTCGGAACGTCTAAACTTGAGTCACTTTTTTGGTAGGCGGGACCATTTTAGTGGTAAGCAACAAGCTGGCACAGCGCTTCGCACGATGCATCTAGCTGGTGTCTTTTTCAAGCCATCTTCGAGTCATTTAGGGCAGAAGGAGACTCCAGGCTGCAAAAAGAAGCCGTGGCAACTTTCAGAAGGAAGAGCCTTGAATCAAAACTTTGGCGCATTTTGCCAAGGGCTGTTAGGACTGAATAACTTTTTGCCAACTAATGGGTTTTCCGTACTAAACCACTAAAAGTTAAACTTTTAGCAGGGGAGCAGAAAGCAACCGAGAAAAGACCGGCCCTTTTTTACACCTTTTAAAAGGGAAGACATGGGCTGGGGGCCAGGTCCGTTGGGAGAGCTCGATCCCTCGGAGCCTTTGGAGTTCGAAAGTGCCGACCGACCGCATCAGAAGTTGGAGCGATCCGATTCCCAGGAAGCAAGAAGAAGCATAAAACACCGGGAAATACAGGTCAAGCGCACCAAACCAGGGTCCATGGGGGGGGTACCATATCTATATATATATATATATATATTATCATTATTATTTTTTGCTGGTGCGAAACCGGGGAATCAGAAATGGAGGGACCCCGAGAAACACCACCCGGGCTCATTCCATTTCTCATTCCCTGCCGATCGCTGCAAGTTGTTTGTTCTTCAATGGTGGCAAGTTGCAGAGGTGGACAAGGGGCCCCAGCAAGACAACCGCTTCCCCCCGAAATTGGTGGTGAATGAGGAAATGAGCCCGGGGATTTCCTTTAAAAGAAAAAATAAAACCACCAGGATGGTGTTTCTTGGGGTCACTCCATGTTCCACTGTGGGTGTTTGTTTTTGAGGGTACCCCTTTTGGGCCTTGTGAGCTTTGCGCGGACTGGAACTTTGGGTGTCTTTGGGAGGCCATATGAGGCTTCCCTGTGTTCGGGCTCGTGTTTTGATCCAAAGGGCATTAACTTCATTTCTGATTCCCGGTGTCGGATTGGAGGTTAGCATGGTTGTCGTTGGGAAACATTGTTCATTTTTGCTTATTGTGGTTTAGTGATTGAAATCCAACCACTTAACTGCTCCCCAAAACCCAACGTCAACCAAGTTAGCTCAGGCCATTTTTGGGCGGGGTGATCGATCTTCGGCCGGAGTGATCGATCCGGAGGGCCCACCACCCTTGGAGCTGCTACCAGACAGTGGCGCTCTCGGATCGGATTCTGTCGGAGATAGGAAGACGAATATGAGGGATGTTTCTAGGTCCCCAGCTAGGTGCCCTTTCTCACCCTTTTTTTGGGGAGATTCGGTTCCCCTACTAAAATCGACTACAGAAACAAGTTGGTACCCTTATTCTAACCTCTCTACTGGAGGACCTAGGTTTGTTCTCCTCCCGCAAACTCGCCAGAAACAAATGGGAGATTGCCCAATACCCCTTAAAAATGTTTGGGGAGATTCGGTTCCTGGCGCGATAGGTAGGGAACGCAGGAATGGACCGGACGGGGATTCTCTTGGAAGTCATATGGGATGATTTATAGAGGTCATTCCGACATTTCCCCAGAGCACCAGCAAGTCATTTTCCTGGACCCTCAAAGACTCAAACTACCAATAAACATGGGACATTGCTGTACATAATGGGCTTGCTTCCCTTGTTGAAGGCTAGTTTGAGGGTCCTCATTTCATGCATCACCACCTTTTCGGTGTTTTTCTGGCTACCTACTATCGTGGCTTGCCTGGAGTCACTGGGAAAGTTTACGTTGGCAACTCGCGATGTGTTTGGCCGTAGTGAATCTTTGGATATGTCTTGGATAGTGGCAAGAGCATGGTGGCCAACCTCTTGTAAACCATGGAGCTTATGCTTTCCCCTTTCTCTCCGGGAATTGTATTCGAAAAGGGGAATCTCTGTAGCTTCTGAGCTGAGCGGGCAAAAAGGGGGGAAGCAACCTTGGTTTGCCAAGCAAGCTCGTTGATCGGCAACAGGAATGCTCCGAACCTCAGAAACAATGATCAACGCATGGTAGAATCATACAATCTCAAGGTTGCTTGGTGGTGGTTCCCAGCCATCCCTTAGCTTGTAAGCGTTTTAGTGCTTGGTCGGGAGTCCATTTCACCCACTAGAAGAAAACAACTTTTAGCAGGCGATCAGAAAACGGACAGTATCAGTTTTGGCGTTGCCCTACTGTGGATGGACAATTTCCTACACCACTTTACAACCATGGGAAACCATTGTTTCTTTGTATTTACAAAGGGATCATCATTTCATGATTTCTTTTTTTTTTTTTTTAATTCAAGTTGTGCAGGACTTTGTCCATCCATAGTATTTTGAGCCAAGCCTTTTCTTGTTCTCGTTCTCGTCCAAATTTCTACGCCAGACGCATCCGGTCCGGCCAAGCTCAGGTGAGGAGTGAAATTGGGCGCGATTTTGGCATCTCTTTTGAGCGCTGACCTAATGGCCAAACCCCCCATCTTGAGCCATGCGGTGGATCGATCCCAGGCGTAGGCGTTTCGCCCATACACCTCCATTTGCTGAAGAGCATGTGTTATTTTCCCTTGCAGGTTTTTCCCTTGTAAGGCTTTAAATGGAATGTATGACTACCGGAAATATGTTTTTTTTTTCCCAGCAGGCGTAAGCAACTGGGAGCGTATAATGCGTAACCAGCAATTGTCCTTTTGGTTTCTATATCAGGTAATTGCCTTGGTTACCTACTACACAGGTAAATGGATCCACTGGAGCCAGATTTGAGTAGTACTTGCCCAAGGGGCTAAACGTTTCAAGCAGCAGTTCTCGTATCACGAGGTAATTCGGTTGAACAGTACCCCAGAACCCCATTCTAATTCTTTAGGCCCTTGTAAGGTGGTTCCAGGTTCGACATCCCAAGACGGGTCTTGGAGCACTGTCACTATACATACTATACAACAGTTTAAACGAATCCCTTCCGTTCGGGTTGAAAGGCACTTTCGTTTTCAGGAACAAAAAGAAAACCGATCAACGACGACGAAAACTCTTTGACCCCAAGCCCTCCGAGGGTACCAATGGACTCTCTAGGAATGTGGTTCACGGCTGGGGCAACAGGCTTGCAACAAATGCAGTCCTGCAATTGGAATCGGATTCCTTCCTTAGTTCAGGTAGGCGCACTATCGTGGAGAAAGTTGGCTGTGTACCCAGTTGCCCAGTGGCGGCTTTTTATGCTCTCTTTTTCTGGAAAGGGTTCCCGTTTAAAGTCAACCAACCAAAAATGGTTGCCCTTTGTTTCCCACGGCCACTGGGCATTTGAGGCTTGTGTTTGTTCTAGTTGCCAAACAGAATTGCATGAATTTGGTAGGGATTGGAATGGGTTTGGGGTCGGGCAAAGATGACCAGGGTTGGGCAAACATCCGGTCCCACGTCGCCAAAATCGATATTTATCAGGCACCCTGAGTTGGTGGTTTGGATGTGAACAATCGAAACCGCCAATTAGAGGGACACTGAGCTTCATCATGTTGAAAGGTGGTGAATCGCCCTAGCCTACCTTGCACATGACCTGTAGGTGGAAGATGCTCTCAGGGGTTTTGGCCCTTTGTGCTTTAGATCTTTTCACCTGTAGCCGTAGCGCGCTACAGCTTTTGGCCCCGCCAGGGGGCTTCACTTGAGACGCACGGCCAATGGCTCGCGTGGTTTATTTTCTTTTCGCCTTCCTTCTGGTGGTTGAACATATGCAAGCCTTCTTGAAGACCCATAGCCACAAGTTAGCCACAGGCCACGCTTGTACCTTGAGGTTTAGTTTCAGCCATGTGCGATATTCAACCCTGGAAGAGTCGGCAAAGACGCACTCTTGGTATGTCGGCCAGCTGTCTACTGTGTTGATTCTGTTGACTGTTCGTTGTTGAAAAGACGCATCAGTCTTTTGCTTACACGTCAGAACTGGGAAGCGATCTTTGTTCGGCCAAGTTAGCAAGTGCTTAGCCACTTGGGGCTTTTCACCCCCTAGTAACGAGCTGAACCCCTCGAACGGGGGACTTCTAAGTGGGCTACAACCGAAGGGTTACCAACAAGTTGCTGACTTGGCGGAACACCCAACCCAGAGGGTCCCTTGGTACCCCATATTTGAGGTTTGGAGTTTGGTTCCAGGGGATCTTCCGGCAGAATTTTCGGCTTTGCTGCTGGCCACTGGCGTCATGGATTCGATTTTGCTCGGAGACTGTCAGCGCGTGCCAGCGTGATCCAGCCACCAGCCTGGTGATACTTGCCTTTCAAGCTGACCTGGTAGTCTGTCCGAATTTTTCTCCCAGCGCATTTTTCCATTTTTGGGGAGGAGGGTCGAGTCCCTGTAAAATCAGCATGTGAGCCAAAAGCTTGTTTGAGTTCAGCTCGCAAGGTGGGACTCCGCTGGTGGCTGCGGAAGCCGAAAGGCAGAGGTATCTGTTTGCTCAGCCCGCACGAAGCGATCTGGGTATGGGTCAAATTTCCACAAGGGGACTGCAGGTTTTGGTCTTTGTTTAGATTTGCCAGGGCAAGCCATTTGGTTGCCGAATTTTTCGACCCACGCCCATCTGCAACCTTCCCGCTGAATGAGCCGAAAAAAGGTGAGCGCAACGCGGAGACGAGTTGCTGAAGGGCACGAGTTTGCGGTCTCCTTCATGGGACTGATATGGTGTTGATGGGATTTATTCGATTGGGCAATCAGGTAAGGACATGTTGTGTCAGGGCCCTTCGCCCTTTTCCAAAGGTTTGCTTTGCAAATCTATCTCAACGGTATCACCAGGATCCTCAAGCTACTTAGACTCTCCATGACCCTTCAAAAATGGGTCATTGACCCCGTTATTTGGGGAAATGACCCCCATTTTTTAAGGGTCATGGAGACTCCAGGTACCCATAAAAAAGGCTGAGTGCCCAAACTACTGGGGTGGTTTCCCTTTTTTTTGGTTGGTAGCTTCAGGGTCCAGGCCCGTCCCAGGGTCCACGATGAATTTGAGGACCGGTTCGCGAAGCGGCTGAAATGGCAACCATGTATACTTTGGCGCTTGTTGCTTGGATGTTAGGACTTTAATTTTTGACCAACTAATGGGTTTTCCATTAAACCACTAAAAGTTAAACTTTTAGCAGGGGAGCAGAATTCAACCGAGTTCAGATTGTTTCGGACTTCAAGGATGTGGTCTTGGTAGAGAGGGCCTGTAGGCTGTTCTGTGCTAAGGCCAGGGGTCCTTCCACATGACAAATGAGCCACAATCAATCCCGGGTAGATGAAGGTAAGTAAGGGCCAGTCCCAGCCATAAATAGCTGCGGCCGCCTTCTTAATTCTTTACGTGGTTCTGGATTCACCATTTTAGTACCGGGTTTTGATTGGCTCAAATGCTGAATCGCGATTGGAATCCTGCACGGGTTTGTCCACGTGGTGTCGAACAAGAGCAGCACTTTGGCACTTGTTCGTCTTGGTTTGCTCGACTCACTTACCGAATTCTTGGACTTGAGTCACTTTTGGGAAGACAATCTTAGTGGTATAGATGAAGAGTGTGAATTTTGTTCGGCCAAACCACTCAGGAAGTGAGCCAACTCCCACAAATACTGTAGCTGCACCTCGATCTTGTCAGATTTTGGTGGCACCATGCCTTGTTGACCCCGCGTTTCCGCAAAACGGGTAAGATAAGGGCCGGAGTTTTCCAGCGATCACACTTGAATTTGGTTTTGCAATACCTCACAAGCCCTTTGAATGGTTTGAGTTTATTCCGGCAGTACCTCAGGATTCCAGGGTTCAACTCCCATTAAAAGAATTGGTGACCCAACACAGACGATGGAGTTGGTATATGGTGGACCTGGAGTCTCCTGACCCTTTGCATATGGGGTCATGACCCCGAAATATTTGAGTGAAGACCGATCGTTTTTTGAGGGACTCATAAATTGCCCGACCGCATAAATATGTTGGCCCTTGTCAACATGACGACTTCCGTTTTCGTTGGGGAATACCTTCCCAAACAATTTGTCCCCCCCCCTTTTTTGAAATTAATGCCCACGAGTTTTCTCCACTGGGCACCCCTTCATGTCCCGTTCCAAGGAGGTTTCTGAAGGGAATCAACGCCAACTTGTTGGCTTCAACTGTCGGGTCGCCCTTGGTCAATGTTTCGGAGTGGTGGTTTGGGAGTTTGACCCTCCTTGTTCTTGGAGGTGAGCCACTCACCTCCACCAAAACGAACCACCAAATAGGAGGAAGCTGAAACTGCTGAAATTTGCCGTGTGTGTCCCACGCCTCTGGAATTTGCCGCCTGCATTATGGAAGAACAAGAAAACGTCGGATGCCGCGTTTTGGGTACCTTGGCGAGTCATTTTTCGGGCGGGCGTACGTGAGGCATCCTGTCGACGCATGGCAGTTCACTCCATTTAGGTGTGTCGGTGGTTGAGACCCTTTTCAGGGTGGTATAAAGGGAATGCAGCAGGAACCAACCATTTTGGGGGGGTCCCTTTTAGTTGGGCAAGTGGCGGACTCAGAAACTCGGGGGTGTTGCTGCAGATTCATGGAGCTTGTTATCGGGACTGGTTTTGTCGGTGAGTCATTTTTACCCGGCTCTGGCAACAAATTGTTCCATTCAAAGACATCCTCTATGCAGACCAGAGCTATGGCGTTTATCTTGGTTTCTCTTGGGGTGTTGCGCTGTCAACGGGCCATGAGTCAAAAGCCCGTACCCCCAGTGAACTCAATCCCCAGTAAAATAGACTAAAATGGGTGGTACATCTTCAGGTGTTGAACCTTTGCATCATATCCTTCCATTTGGTTAAGAATATGTTTCATTTTCCCCTGTTGGTTTCGAAGGGAATCTATCACTACTGAACATATCTTTATTTTTTTCCAGGGGACGATTAAGCAAATGGAGGTATCCGATCGTCAGCTGCATGACCAGGATGGCTTCAGCTTGGCAAGACTCATTCAGAATGTCGCCAGACGCACATCTCGTCACTGAGAAACACTGCGCTCTCCCGCTGCATCTCTAGCACCTCGCAAGACCAATGTGAAGTAGACTCGCACTGACGTGGACTGGGTATGGGTCAAAATTCAACCAGAAATTGGACCGCGGGTTTGAGTCAACTTGTTTCCATTTACCAGTGTTTTGTTTCGGGTACCCATTTTTGACCCATACCCAAGTGATCTTGCACCGGGTTTTGCGAACGACTCACGAGACTCGCGAGCTATGGCCGATGAGGACCTGTTGCCTTCTATTTGCTTAAAACGTGGCGGTAAGGATCCCTGATTACCTCCTCTTGGGTAAGAATATTTGTCATGTTCCCCTGTTGGTTTTGAAGGGAATCGATGTCACTACTGGAAACATAGTGTGGATGGACGAAAACCCGCACCACCTAAGAACCCCTGGAATGATGATTCCCCTTGCAAATACCAACAAGTAATGGTTTTCCATGGTTTCAATCTGGTGCGAAATGGAT